TACAAGAAAATGAATGTTTACTATTCCAGGTCAGCTGCTAATTATGCATAAAATTACAGTTTCACATGGCAAAGTCTAATTTTCCCTATTTTCTAAAAATTTTTGCCATGTGATGAAAAAACATGCTTATTTTATTATATTTATTATAAATTTCCTAGGAAATAACAATGTTTTGTTTCGATACGACATATTTCATTTCACTTACCCCCCGCCATAACACGATTTCAGCCATATTTTGCAAATTTTTGATCGCCGTTTTTCGCCGTCCGTCGCAAGCACCATCCAAATACTGTACTTTAGCACGATTCTAGTGGACTAAAGAATTATTCAACCAATTTTCGATGGGTTTTAAAGTAGTGCCATGTAATATTTTTTCATTTTTGTTTCCCTTGACATTTCATCAATTATGTCGCCATTGCCATGTCTCGTCGCCTTTCTGCACGGTAAATGCCAGTTCTTGACCCCCAGCTGTATTTTTTTCACAGCATCGATAAATATTTGACAGTACAATAGCAGCTATCCAAAATTTAAAAGCATTTGTCCCACTTGAAAGTAAAAAACCACCCCTCGTTTATCGAGAATGAAATTCAAGTTTGAAAGATTCAAAATAATTTGAAAGTCTCGCGCAAACTCCGCGACAAATGCTCGTGGACAACATTGCAGGGGGGGGATTACTCTCACGAATACATTTCTGGTTTATTTTTTTAGCTTTGTGAAAGCAAGAACCTGAAATTTAAACGCGGAGACTTGTTAATTTTTTTATGAGAAATATTAACAGCAAAAACGGACAAATTTTACTCGGGTTGTTGACTGATTGTGGTTGTGAACAAATGTATGCTTGAATTTTCGTCACCCCGGAATGTTGTCCACGAGGGCTCGTCGCGGAGTTTGCGCGAGACTTTCAAATTATTTTGAATCTTTCAAACTTGAATTTCATTCCCGATAAACGAGGGGTGGTTTTTTACTTCCAAGTGGGACAAATGCTTTTGAATTTTGGATAGCTGCTATTGTACTGTCAAATATTTATCGATGCTGTGAAAAAAATACAGCTGGGGGTCAAGAACTGGCATTTATCGTGCAGAAAGGCGACGAGACATGGCAATGGCGACATAATTGATGAAATGTCAAGGGAAACAAAAATGAAAAAATATTACATGGCACTACTTTAAAACCCATCGAAAATTGGTTGAATAATTCTTTAGTCCACTAGAATCGTGCTAAAGTACAGTATTTGGATGGTGCTTGCGACGGACGGCGAAAAACGGCGATCAAAAATTTGCAAAATATGGCTGAAATCGTGTTATGGCGGGGGGTAAGTGAAAAGAAATATGTCGTATCGCAACAAAGCATTGTTATTTCCTAGGAAATTTATAATAAATCTATTAAAATAAGCATGTTTTTTCATCATATAACAAAAATTTTTTGAAAATTGGGAAAATTAGACTTTGCCAGGTGAAACTGTAATTTTATGCATAATTAGCTGTTGACCTGGAATAGTAAACATTCATTTTCTTGTAAAATATGAAACTTAAGCTAATTTCACTCTCCAGTGACCACCCCTAAAAGCAACCATTCTGAACCATATAAACAATTCAGAAAGACTGTAGCTTTGATAATTTAGGATTTAAAGCTAAGTCGACTATGCCGTTTCTAGGTGTGGTCACTTTCAGGACTTTCGTCCCGGATTCACATTTTGGCACATATGCCATGTTGACCGCCATGGTTATTTTACCCTAAAACAGTGGAGATAATCTGTCCTAAATGAAATGCATACAAACTCCTTTACAGGTCCTAGACTATATAGAGCTTCTGAACATAAACAATACAGTTCATATTCGCATTTAGATGCCTTGCAAACCTAAATCGCGGTCGCGAAATTTCAGAAGCTCATCGTACTTTAAAAAGTATAGAAGTTCAATTGTTCAAAAATGTAAATAAACCGCATGCTATACATTCGCTTTGTTTTGCGAATTCGCGCTTATATAGTTATATTAAATCTTCAATTCTGTGCAAACTACGACGTGTCAACGCGCCCATACACGACCACATCATCTTGTTAAACGGCGAAATAGCAGCGATATTGTTAAAATAAGACCAGAATCTAACTGTATTAAATATATTCTTACCCCAATTCAATCTAAACTTAATCGAACAGCATGAAAAGAACGGTTTATTTCATATTTGTTTCTCTTGGAGGAACTGCCGTATCATGCGAGCGAAATCGAATCGTGCATCGGAATTCGGAAAATTAGCCAAGTTTGTGCCTCACAACTTTTGGGAAATAAGACTGGGACGTAGATAAAACAAAACAAAACAGGGGCGAATTTTCAATTCCGATGCTGGCGCCGGAGTATTAATGTAATAGAACGAATAGGAGTGCAATTAATGTCAAAATCGTACGAGTGTTTACAACGCGCGTGATTTGTCAAGCACGAGAATGATGGAAATAGCATCGTATACTTAATTCGTTAAAATAAAATCAAAATCACTCTAGCTATATACAACTAGCCAATCACCATTCAGGATGAAAAATTTGAATTTAAATTATGTTAAAATATACGAAATACACATGCAAATCCCCTGGCCAGAAGCAATAAACATACATCTCCAAAAGTGAAATTCTACTTGTTTTTGCTGAATGATCAAAATGGTATAAGTAAAATCGACTCTCGAGCTATCAAATTCAACTAAAATCATAATTGTGCTTCGTATAGTTTTAAATACTACAATTTTTAGTAAAATTTTTAACAGATTCACTTTAAAAATAAATGCTTTCCCAATCAAAATAATTTCAACGAAATTGATAAATCCACATATCCATTTGAATCAAAGTTTTTCTACCCGAAGGCATCTTTCACATTATATTTTTCGTATATTTTCAAAGCCAATCCAAATGAGAGATATTTTTGAAAAAGTTTTATGATTCAAAATATCAGTTATGTTGACGCGAACCAAAAATTTAATTTAGCCAATCGCACGTCTGCAAACGTTTGCTACTTACCAGCTTTAACTCGTCTTAAATTCACGCATGCGCATAGCTTACAAAAACGCCCAACATCCATGACATAATGGTGGAATTGCTTTCCAAATCAAAATCATTTTAACGGAATTGACGAATAAATTCAAAGAGGTGTCATACATTTGTTGATAAATCCACATAATATTATTAAACTTACAAATACTTGCATGCTTTAAAATACAAAAAATGGTTACCTGTAAATGGTTATCTGTTCAAAAACACTCAAAAATGCTTCATAATCGAAAATTTTTACCATCCATTTAAATGAAAGTTTTTCCGTCTATCCGACGGCATCCTTTACATTATATTTTAATCAATTTTACGTGTCAATTTTTCGTATTTTCTTAACACGATCCAAATGAAAAATACTATCTGAAAAAAAGTTTTATTTAAGAATTAAAGCACTCTGTGAGTGCATTATCGGGTTTTACATGCACCAGTTCACAAACAAGGAACGAGAAGTTCAATACTGCACGAGGCGAAGCCGAGTGCAGTATTGAACTTAGAGTTCCTTATTTGTGAACGAGTGCATGTAAAACCCGATAATACACAAACAAAGAGTGCTTTAATGCTTTTAATATTCATTTGGAGTAAACTCGTAAAGACTTTATATTATTTTAAAACTTAAATAAACAACACATGCTTACCTTTAAATACTAAAACACCCTTACCGGTTGCCCGCTTAGTATTTTTCGGTGTGGATTCATCTCTATAATTACATTTATTTCTTTTTAACTAAGTTCGGCAATTTTTTTGTTTATTCCCGCCATTTTGATCGTGCAATAAATCCTATAACGGCACTGCCGTGGCGTTGTTGCTATATAAAATTCTCTCACGTGGTACAAATCGACCAATCAGAACGTAAGTTTACAAAAAATGAACATTAAAATTCAAATGATCAGTTATGCTGACGTGAATCCAAATTTTAGTTTAGTTAATCGCACGTTTTTAAACGTTTGCTAGTTACCAGTTTTAACTCGTCTTAAACTCGCGCATGCGCTTTACTTACAAAAACGCCCAACGTCCATGACCTAATAGCGGACAACTTTCATTTCACAATTGCATTCCCGGGCGTAATTAAAATCTCCGAGCAGACCCTCGCCCGGTGCTTCGCACCGGCTCCGGGATGATACAACTAGAAATACATGCATGCAAAATCCCCTCGCCTGAGCAATAAACATATCTATCACTGAAATTCTATAATACTCGTTTCTGCTGAATGATCGAAGTCGATCGTATAAGTAAAATACTTACAAAATACTTGCATTCTTTAAAATACAAAATTTACGCATTTACCTGATCAAAAACACTCCAAAAATGCTTTAAAATCGTAGATTTTTCACCATCTATTTGAATCAAAGCTTTTCTATCCGAAAGCATCTTTTACTTTATAGTTTAATCAATTTTACGAGTGAATTTTTTGTATATTTTCAAAACTATCCAAATTAAAAGTATTTTAAAAACGTTTTATAGTTCAAAATATCAGTTACGCTGACGCGAACCAAAATTTTAATTTAGCCAATCGCACGCTTGCAAACGTTTGCTAATTACCAGTTTTAACTCGTCTTAACTCATGCATGCGCATAACTTACAAAAACGCCCAACGTCCATGACATAATAGCGGACACCCTTCATTTCGCATTTGCATTCCCGAGCGTAATTAAAATCTCCGGGCGGAATTAGTACCCTCGCCCGGTGCTTCGCACCGGCTCGGGGATTAATTTTATTGAACTTCAATATAATTGTCAAATTTTATGCTGAAATTTTTATTTTGATATTGTTTTGTTTTGTTTTGTAATTTTAAAAGTTTTGCAAATCTTCAAAATAGAGGTATTTCAAATTTCTGGGGTTCATCGGAGATATACCAACGTTGCCTAATTTTAATATATATATATATATATATATATATATATATATATATATATATATTAATATATATATATATATATATATATATATATTTATATATATAATGTACGACTCAGTTTAATATAAAATGCTTACCATTATAACCTTCAATATTCAACTTGTACTTCTCATTTTCGCTGCTGACATTAAACGAATCATAATGAGCGTATCTGGTGTTCCCAGATGTATCTTCCATGTCGATACGAAGTTCATTTTGTGAAATATTTGTCATCCTGTGTATTTTATCAAGTCCAAGCCAATATTCTCCGCTCAAGTTACCAAAACCTTGTTTGTAATCTTTCAATCCTCGGTTGAAGTCAACACTTCCATCAAAACGTCGTTGAAATACACTCCATCCTCCACCCGATGTTGTCATATCACAAAACACTTTGAAACTTCCCTTTCCATCAGGATTGATTTCATAAATTCCACTTTGAGTATTTCCTTTTTCATACAAATCAGCGCAGTGGAGATCTGAAAAATATCATGGTTTTATATTACAACTTAGTGGTCCAATAAAAGCAATTATAATTTATTAAGGGTTAATAACCCTTAGCAGTTTTTCCCGTGGGAATTAATTCTTTTCTGGGATTCAGCTATCAGATTAATTTGTGTCACAACGGCAAAAAATAAATATCTATAAGAGCATAAGAAAATGAGTTAACAGCAGGCAGGTTCCCCCACGCCCCAAAATTTTCCAATAGTTACAATTGCCCTTTATGTGCGAAAAGAGTCCTTTTCTGTGTTCACTTTTCTGTTTGTAGATATAAAAGCTTATGTCACAGCGCCTTTTCATTAACTATAAAAAGTTCTTCAAAAAAATTGAGATGCTTCCTGCACTCCCGGGAGATAATATATATTGATTTTGTGGCACTTTACAGGATGAAGGATAATTTTTGGAAAAAGGATTTAGGACTTTTAATTTTGATAGGAAACTACAACTTAAATTCAGACATGGAACTGTTAATAAAAATGTATCAAATATCGATCCTCCGCCAGAAATCAAACCTACCCTTTGTGATCCTAGTGACATCCTAAATTTGAGTTTGTATAATTTCCACTCAAAATTAGGACCAAAAAGAATTGTCCTTCATTGAGTAATGTGGCACAAAGTCTTAATTCAGTGATTTATTCTCACTATTCCCAGGAATTTCGATGCTAAATCCACACCAACTACGCTCGCTCTTGACAATTATCTCTCCAGCTTCGTGGCAAGAGCATTGCATCGGCGATGCAAAAGCGTAACTTCGATTCCTGCCGGAAGATCAATATTTGACACATTCTTAACACACAGATTTGCAGATGCTTGCTTTAATTATTCTAAATTAGCCGTGATTACTGTTTTTAAAAATTTTGAAAGCAACGCTCCTTTAGGCTCAGTTAGGCGGGGAAACGGCTGTACTACCTGATCTATGTGCGATGCGCGTTCCCCCCCCAAACATTTCTGTTGAACATTATTTTTATTATTTTTAACTTTTTTTTAAAAAAACATGATAAGACGGGACGATACATGCAGGTATTAAGCGTTTTAACTGGATAATTTTGAGTTATTATACAGTTAAAGTAACATAATTTCAGTAGAGGAATTTAATAGTATAAACTTTTTGTATAAACTATAATAATTTGGCGGGTATAAACAGGATAAATTATATTATATATATATGTATTTTATATTATATATATTTATAATTATATATATATATATTATATAATATATATATATATATATGTATATATATAATATATGTATATATATATATATATATATATATATATATATATATATATAATTTCCGCTTCTTAACTTATTAGAAGATAGGAATATAGGTATAATAAAAAGCAGACAACTTCTCATTGAACCAGTTAGGAACAGTAATGAGGACGCGCTTTTAATTAGGGAGGCCTATTGGGCCGCTCAGCTTTGCACTTTGATACCTAATGGACTTAAAAAAAGGTGTGAATACCGCTCTGAACGGCGGATTAGATATAATAAGTAATTTTGCATGTTTGTTATTGTCCCCGAGCGGGCGCGGAGCGCCTGCGAGGGTACTAATTCCGCTCGGAGATTAGGACTTACACCCGGAGCCCGGTAGAACATAGCCGAATCCAAAGTTGTCCAAATTCTTTGTCATGGACGGTCGACGTTGGGTGGTTTTGTAAGTTATGCGCATGCGCGAGTAGCGTCTTGTAATCAACGAACGTTCTGATTGGCTATTAAAGACAGAAAGTTTGTATTTCAATGAGAACGTCAGCAATTTAAATTAACTGTCATTTCGTAAACATTTTTGTAATTTGTAAAAGCGTTTCATAAACTTTGTGCAAAGAAAGTAAAACGAGAAGAAACAAGATATATGAAGCATGACAGTTAGCAAAGATGAACGTGGATTTTTTATTATTATTATTCATAATCTGCAAACTTATAAATGTTTTCAAAGACAAAGGGTACGTGTTTACTTTGTTTATTTCGTATTTGTTTCGCGATAAGAAAGCCGTATTTGTATACTTTTCAGCTTTGTATGCCGTTTATTTGTAAAATTTTCAGCTTTTTATGCAAACGCATAAACCTGTGAAAGGCTATTACACCTTTGCTTTAACTTCAAAAAGTGTTTTTGAAAGTGTAATTTGAATTTTGGTATAAAAAATACACACTATATTTATAAAGTATAAAACTTTTAGCCGCCGGCGTCGACTGCAATTACAGAATAAAATAACATATGAAGTTTTTTCTTTGTCTGTGAAGACAAACCGTCACTTAATTGCTGGCATGGTATAATGCAGCAAAATTGAATGGGAAATGTTTACACTAGCTTTATGATTATTTTTAGCTATAATATACTCGGTACTAGAAATACATGCATGCAGCAACCCCTCGCTATTTTGAACCAAGTACACAAATTCTTGAGTTATATACATATATATATATATATATATATATATATATATATATATATTTATCACATACTTGTGCCTTTATCAGGGCGATAACAGGGTGACATAAAAACGATATCGTCACTGATATCGCTTTTTGTCACTGATATCGCTTTTTGTCACTGATATCGCTTTTTGTCCCGCTGCATTTGCCGCTGTCAAAACAAAGATGGCTGACTCGAGCAATTCGAGGTTTGTTTCAGTCAATGTCGATTGCTTTATAGATCAAAAAGAAGTATGTGATAAACAGGTTATCACAATCGAGACGAGGTGATATCAGTTTTATCGCTTTCAGGACGATATCATAAATGTCCCTCGTTCGCTGCGCTCACTCGTGACATTTATGATATCGTCCCTCAAGCGATAAAACTGATATCACCTCGCCCCTCATGTGATAACCTATACATATATATATATATATATATATATATACACCCATTTGCAAAAACGTTGGCCGCAGATAGATAGATAGATAGATACTCGAAGTCTAATTAGAATTGCATATGAATACATTTGCATGGGATTTCAATCATATTACATAACATATGCAATTCTAATTAGATTTCGGGTATCTATCTATATATCTATCTGCGGCCAACGTTTTTGCAAACGGGTGTATATATATATATATATATATATATATATATATATATATATATATATATATAGTATATTTATAATATTATTCTCATTAACATAGCTAAACTTATGTTATGTTCATGTTCTTTTGAGTTTTGTTCATATTCACAACAGTAGAATATTTCTCATTCCATAATACTTAAAAAAATTAAATATTAAATTTCTTGTAGTTTTTGTTACGGATATGAAATCACTAGAAATTATATAATTATGTTATTTTTGCGATAATTCTAAATACCTGATTTCCTGGTAGCCTTTTCTTTTTCAACCTCACTCTTTGCCTATACAAAATTAAACAATACTAAAATTTAAAAATATATGATTTATTCAATATAATATATTATTTCATTAAAAATTAATTACACTTTCACCCCAGTATACTGTTCAAATTACGTACGTCTAAATATTTCTAATTTCTATAAATCTTCAAAGACCATTTTTGCCGGCATAGAGACAAAAGAAACATTAGATACCGTACTATATTTCTTAAGAGAAAAAGAAGTTGTATTTTTATAACGTATACAAAGTGATCTCAAGATCGCAGATATGGAGAAAATATTTTCTTACATGCAGTCGAATAATAACTAAGTTTTTCTCGGGTAAATATAACTGGGTAAATATAACTCACACTGGTGGTGTCCTTGCAGCTTTGGAAGTCAAGCTGTCCCTAAACATATTTTTTGCTGCCCTTTTTTTAACCGATTTCCAATCTCTGGATGCTTCCTACACCCCTGGGTTTATATACGTCCCTTAGTATATTCCTGTAATTTATATTCTGTTAATCAACGGTAAAAAGAAACTCTCAATTAATATTTGAAATTTGATTGTATTTTGCAGCATCGCTAAGCGATAAAGTAAGTGACTTTGTCATGTTTTATGGAATTACGTAATTATTTATTGCAGGATGACGGAATCCAAATTATTCCTAGAATTTATCAATCTTACCGCTTCATCATCTTGCATCAACATCCAATCTCCTGTTTTCATTTCTTCTTTCTTTCTAATAACGCTAGTCAGTTGGCAATTCTCAACATTTTTTGTTGTTCTGTAGTTGAATCCAACACATTTGAGTTTGTCTTTGCAGTGATTGTGACACTCGAACATGACAAACGAAGACGTAATATTGTGTCTTGATATTATTTCATCCGCAGGCAATGATGGACCTCCTAAGTATTTTAACAAAATTCGAAAAACACTGATTTTCGAATAAAAAATGTCCAAGCTTTGGATAACAGATTGTTTTCATCATATATGAAGTATTAAACGATATTTCACGACAATATGTTTTACTAAAAAACATGGAAAGACGACTCACCTTTTATGATTGCGTCGTATCTCTTCTGGGAACATTGGTTTGCAGAAATGTTTCCAATATCAAGCAACAGCAAGCTCAAGATTGCCGCAACAAACATCGTATAAATTGTCTTTTTTTGACTCGATAATATACGAATACAAGAGGGTCTTGAGGCTGTGTTTCATAAAAATTTAACAATTCATTAAGTTACTATAGCGACGTAATCGAATTACAATCATAAATAGAGAAGCGGACGCCTTTAATTTTAACTTTATAGTGTTAGACAGCGAAGAGTTTGAAGTATGTATGAAGGTTTTGAGTTAATTAGAACAGAGCAAAGAAGTAATTTAATAAAACTAAATAGTTATATAAATTATTTTACTGTTTTCAACACTGAATTTAAATGGTATTGTACATGCTGCATGTTCCAGTCCAAGGGATGTAAACAAGTAGCTAATTTTCAAAATCAACTCCAGCATTTTTTCTATTAGTATGTATGCATTTGTTCACCCGTTTGGTAACAAACAAATTATTTAAGTGCAAGCTGCGTATTAAATAATTATTAGCGTCTCTTATTTGGCAGTTTATGGACTACCAATTCATCAAACCCGTACCCAGGGCCTGTCTTTTATCGTATATGTATTGTGACCACATCTATTCACGTTAAGAATCGGTCACTCGATGATTGTGTACGTGGTACGACAGTTTCAGGATTCCGCATAGTTTGGAATTTGAAACTGAAAAGAAGCGGAAGAAAAGTGTGTGTGAAATGGTCAATCTTGAAACGAGCCATCTCAAGATCTCCTGGAGCTCTACGATGTGGTTTATTCCTTGTGGAAAAACTGTGCATAATACGTGCAGATGAAAACAAATGTTTAAACAAGCGCTCTGAACTGTTTTCAAATGCTGCCATAAGAACAAGTTTAATTTAATGCCGGAAATTTTAGGCGCGCGCACAAGCATAAGCCCAGAATAGACATTATACCAGACGCCTTACTCATTGCATTTGAAATTTTTTGAGAGTGTGACGCCATCTAACGCAAGCCAAATACGCAAACACACGAAAGCATAATGGCACTTTGTATCCAATTTGTGTCTTGCTCACGTTGATGCATGACGTAATCAAAATATTGTAATGAATTTTTACTGAGTCGTCTGATGATCGCTTTTTTTTATAGCTTAGCGTGAAACACCGTGTAGCGAGGCTTTATTTTCAAATTAAAGAATTAGTTAAATATTAAATAAATATATATAAAACATATAATATATATATAAACCGCTACAAAGTCACCAACGAAGTGATGAATTGAGTGACCGTCTTCTGCAAGAAGCAAGAATCGAGGCAATGCGGATAAGACCATGCAGGAGAGCCAGAGATTTTTGTCTGGCGTGGAGAATACTTAAACATATTAAAATAGCAGATGCTTTTCAAATATCACTTTAGCTAAGATGGAGATTAATTGTGCCACATGATTGACATAAACTGACATTCCACATTCGTTCTCGTGAGCATGTAGTTTGCAAAATTTAATTGACCCAGCTTGTTTATTTTTCTCTAATTCCTTGCGCTAGGAAACTTAGTGCTCTTATTTCACACATTAAATTTCTAAACTGCCTAAAATAATCTAAAGCTAAGTAAAATATTGAATACTTCGTCTATATAAAATAGCCTGCATTTCGCGTGAGTCTTAATTGAACGGTAATCGCTGGTAACAATCTTAAGCAGCCAACGAATTTCATTTCAGTCACAGAATTGCTCTTTTCTAAGTTCTAGTCTTGTCTACGTTCCTTGTTAATGCAGGGAAACTTAAGTTTCTTTTATAAAAGGGCATCTATAACCTACAAACTCCTAAAATAATCCAACATTTGAACGCATTTCACGAAACAAAGTAATTAACTTTAATGTTAAAATGACTTACCACAACTCTGATCAAGATATATTGGAAATTATTTCAGGACTTTATTTGAACAGTTGGTTTGCGTAGAAACTGCATGGACGAACAGTAGTAAAATACTAATTTGCGTAGCACTCAACAGCAAATGAATTATTTAAATGCAAGTTGCAAATTAAATATTAACGTCTCTTATTTGCCAATTTATGGACAGTCGTAGCTCCAAACGGTAAAGTAAATTAAAAACGCTCCATTATTGTGATGATATTTATTTGCGTAAGAAATGTCACTCGATGATTGTGCACGTGGTACGACTGTTTCCGCATAGCGTGAAGACGAGTTTGAAGTATCTTAATCTTGCATTTTTGCGATACTAACTGAATTAAAACAGCTTAAAAAGAAATTAAATAAAACCAGATAGTTGCATTAGTTATTTTATTGTTTTTAACTCCGACCTTTACTGTCACTGTGCATGCTGCATGTTAAGTAGTGCTTGTCGTTTTATTTTAACTTCGACTTGAGAATTCACTGGCGCAAATAACTTTCTTCACTGGGCATCTCTGTCCTTTAACGTAAACGTGAAAGTCTGCATACTTGAATATTATAACTGCGTCTGGAGCAGCTATGCATAACGGTTAATTAGTTATTGAGATGGTTATTTTCATAATTACAACTGCGTGAAAACTGTAAGGTTGCCATGCTTTTTCAATAGGATGTATTAATTTTTAGCCTTTGACAGTAACATAACATTATGTAATGCAATTTTCGTAGATATTGACAGGCAAGCACACATGCAAACCTTTCCTGAAGCTCGATACATGTTCTCTGAGCATCTAAACACAGTGAATCATGCATGCGCAATTTTATTTCGGTGATTTTGGTTACAAGTAATAGTTCTCATCGCTCGTTTTTTTTTTATCAAAGAACGACATTATTTTATTAACATGCGCATATGTTTAAAACAACGCATATTTATGAGAGAGAGAGAGAGAGAGATTTTTGTCTGGCGTGGAGAATATTTAAACATATTGAAATAGCAGATGCTTTTTAAATATCAGTTTAGCCAAGATGGAGATTAATTGTGCCACATGATTGAGATAAACTGACATTCATTCTCGTGAGCATGTTGTTTGCAACCTTTAATTGACCCAGTTTGTTTATTTTTCTCTAATGGCGCTAGCCAACTGGCCACTCTTATGCTAAGGAAAATATTCAATGCGTCATCTATAAAATAGCCTGAATAGCCGCATTTTACGAAACAAAGTCATTAAAAAAAATTTTAATGTTAAAATGACTTACCACAACTCTGATTAAGATATATTGAAAATTATTTCACGACTTTATTTGAACAGTTGGTTTGCGTAGAAACTGCATGGACGAACAGTAATAAAATACTAATTTGCATGTTAGTAGCACTCAACAGCAATAAATTATTTAAGTGCAAGCTAAATATTAAATATTAACGTCTCTTATTTGGCAGTTTATGCGTGTTCTTCAAACCTCGTACCCAGGACCTGTCTCCCATTGTATGCACAAGTATTGTGCAATCCCCGAACCCGCGATTCCTCGGGCAAGGAAACAAAAGTTAATAGTGAGCTTTAAGCAAGTGACGTTTTTGACAACACAAACGGCATGAGCAACGTGAAAAGACTGGGTCAAGGATTGTGATTAGTTAAAAACAAAAACGTTACTTCCGGTAAACGTACGTGTTGTCAAAGACGTCACTTGCATAAGCTCACTAATGGTAAACGGTAATGGACCGCCTATTTAATGTTGTCTTATATTAGCAATTGTTATTACTAAAGTAAATGTTTGCAATTTACAACAAGAACCGTTATAAAGGAAACAAGAATAATTCAAATTGGCGGATTGATGCTTATTATGGTCACAAACATGTACATTCAGACTCGAGTTTGCTCGATATTATTGACAGCGAATGACATTGCAACGTTTGTATGAATATTTCAAAGTCCTGACAGCATAATTAACTTCCCGTAGCTTATTTCAAGCAACTGAATATTTGACTATAGCAACGTCGAACAAAATCAGCTAACCGCGTCGATGATCGTCAACTAACCTCAATACAGAAAGTGGGGACAAAAAGGCCCCACTAGAGCCAAAATAGAACATTTTGTTCTAGGCCCTCTCAAACTGCTTTTCAAAGTGCTTCAGTTTGATTGTCTTGTTCACGAGATTCTTTTAAAAAAACATTATGTCATTATCACTTTGGTTTTTTTGGGATACATATAGGTAGGCATGAGGACGTGAACGTTCGTAAAAGGATGGGAAAATTAATGGCTAATAAATAGCGTGGAATGTCCCGATTAGAAATGGGAAACAAGTTCCATTAGCAAAGAGCACAGCAGTTGTGATGCTTGTTGAAAAAACTGCTCACAATTTTATTTTGGATTTCATATTATTCAACGCATCGCGCCATTTATTCGCCATTTTCACGTCCTTTTTGACGTTCGCGTCCTCCGTGCTAAATCTGCCAAATGGGATCAATGGCCCCAAGCGCCATTTATACGGGGGGGGGGGGGGGACATATGGCCTTAGAAAAACATGCACGTGGCCTCAGAAAATTTTGTTCGCAAAGATTGCGTTCAATGAGATAAAAATATTAATGATAAAAATGGATAACAGCGGTCTCGCTACACAATCAAGAATATATACAAACTTCATTACAATATACTCGCCATTTCAAAAAGAAACTGTCACTGCATACATGATTGACCCATTTGCATTATCATTAAATTATATACAGATTATTATACATCATAGTAGTCAAAGCAATTTGATTGGCTAATAGTTGACAGATAAATCGCGCAATCACGCAAAATTCAGTTATCTGCTAGTATAATATTAGCAGTAGTTATCTGCAAGTGAGACTGCGGTGGTTAACAAGCGGTATTGATTTGAATGTATTAATAATTTATGTATTTTTGGATGTTGAGCCAAGCCGAAGGCGATAACGCTTACCTCGAACTTGGTAACTCTGCATATCACAAAAACCTCATCCAATAATTGTTTATTATTATACATTATAGTAGTAAAAGCAATTTGATTGGCTAATGGTTGACAGATAAATCGCGCAATCACGCAAAATTCAGTTATCTGCTAGCAGATAACTGAGTTATCTGCAATTGAGCCTGCGGTGGTTACCAAGGGGTATTCACTTGAATGTATTTATGTATTAATATTTGATGTATTTTTGGATGTTGCCATTAAATAAGGTTTTTCGTTCGTTCATACTATGTTTACCATTCTTCAAATGTATAGTAAAACAATTATTGAATTCGGTTTTTGTGATATGCAGAGGTATCAAGGTCTCGGTAAGCGTTATCCGCCTCGCCTCCGGCTCGGCTGATAACGCTTACCTCGACCTTAATTGATAACTCTGCATATCACAAAAAACCTCATCCAATAATTGTTTATTATAACCGCCGTACGCCGTCTTTTATAAGTATTGTGTTTGGCTCTTTATATTATTTGCAATTTTATCCAAACATTTTGCGCAGATCAAGTGTCAAGTGAAGTTTTATAGAATTGGGCAGTTCGCTGCATGCATTAATTTCTCTTCAATAACAATTAACGATCATCAATTGGCTAGTGTAATTATGATGCATATTATAATTGATATAGTAATTTTTTAATCGTTTTCCGGGAACAAGGTGCCGGCAAACAATTTTGTGACAACGTTTCCCATGCATGCTTCGTGTTAAAATTCCACTGCAGATGAATTAGGCGGCTAAAAAATAATAAAGGCGTTTTCATTTCAGAACGAGGAACGCCACTCTGCTTATTAATCGGAGCTATGTTGAAACTGGCAGTCCCATGTTAGTAACTAAGACTGCGTTCAGACGCAGTGGGCAAAACTGGTTCATAAAACGTGCTGAACACAGTGTCCTTGTCAAGTAGCACCATTTGAGGCAGTGCTCGTTCTTGATGCAGCATCGGTGCTCGTTTTATTTGGAAGCGTCAATTTCAGAAAAAGTTACCGGCACCCAGTTTGAACGCAGCCTAACTATCCAGGTCAAACTCAGCTCAGTTTCTATATTCTACTTCTAGTAGATGTGATTTAGCGGCTATGCAAACAATTTTAAAAATAAATTTAAAAACAATAAAAGGATATTATAATCTGTATCGTCTTTGATATGAAAGCAAAGAAAGCAAAGAAAAAGCGATAATGATATTATACAAGATACTAAGCAACCTTATAACATTCAAGATACTTTGTTTACAAATAAATATTGCTGATAAAACTTTTCCAAAAGGTCATTTAAAGCCGCTTGGATCACATCGATCACCAGAAAGTATCGATGAACGCTTTGATGTACCTTCACCTCTCGAGTTTTGGACTGACTATGTTAAAATCTCCAAGCCTGTGGTTTTTAGAGGAGCTGCGAAACACTCTAAGGCATTCACGTCGTGGACTGATAAATATTTAAAACAGAATTATGGAGATTTGGAAGTTAGATTGGAAAATAAGGGTGAAAAATCTGGAGGAGTACCAATTGGTGCTAAGGGATTAGGAAGGGATACCATAGGTAGGTGATGATCAAACATGTTATTCTGCACTAAAATATGAAAGAAATTTCAAGGTTTTACAAAGAAATACTCACAGTTATGAAATTTGAATTGATAAGCTAACTTCATGGCCTTAAATCTTGAGGTACATGTATGTTTCAACTTTGGAATCTTTGGAATGTATTGCAAGGCAGATTAAAATTCGTGCTTTATAATATGGTTATCCTCCTATTAAACACCAAAGCCTTGTTAATACACGATTGAAGTTTTAACATTAGACAAGAAATAATTTTTTACAAATAAGAAATAGTCCAGACCGAAAACATGCACATAGAAATATTGTACGTATAACATCAACCACTTCCGTTCAGCTATTGATGGCATTGAAACCATGCTAATTTTTTTTTTGAATTGACTCCTGAAGTTTTTTAGAAAAGTGATTCAACATACTTACTGTAGGGAATTATGTAACATGGTATACTGTGACTAACTTTATTCCACTTAGACTTATAATTGTGAAAATTAAGCCCAGAATGCTCTTTTCTTACACAAAAAATTATACACAAGATTGAAAATATGTGATGCAAATGTTGATATTCTGATTTGATCGAGCTACAATATTAGAATTAAATATAATATCATGATTATGTACCATAAAATAAAGTTATATTCAGTGATCAATTGTTGTTCTTCTTTCGATCCAGCCCACTTTGTGGATACTTATCATGATGTAAACAGTTATATTGTGTCAGAATTACCAACACCAATGTGGTCTGACATCCTTGTGCAGCCATGTTTAACATGTGGAACATTTTCTGATCATATTGTTGAGATTGATTTATGGATGAGTGGTGGAGGAAGCAAGAGTCTCTTACATAAGGTAATCCTTGTTTATATCAATCATGATTTACAGTACAGAGAAGATACAATCAGGGAAGATGCAATCTAGTCTTGCCACTGTGATGATAATTAAGCCAGTTCATCATGTCAAATATAATTATGGTCTCAAAACCACTTAACATGTTATTGACTAGCGACAGTTATGACTGATAAGCCAGTTCATCATGTTGATTAGTCTGAAAGTCATTTAACATGTCACTGACTGGCCAAAGTAATGACTGATAAGCCAGTTCATCATGTTGATTAATCTGAAAGTAATATAGCATGTGATTGACTGACCAGAGTATTGACTGATAAGCCTGTTCATCATGTTGATTGGTCTGAAAGTCATTTAACATGTTATTGACTGACCACTGTAATGACTGATAAGCCAGTTCATTGTGTTGATTAGTCTGAAAGTCATTTAACATGTCATTGACTGGCCAAAGTCATTACTCATAAGCCAGTTTATCATGTTGATTGGTCTGAAAGTAATTTTAATAACATGTTATTGACAGGTCGCATTAATGACTGAAAAGCGAGTTCATAATGTTGATTAGTCTAAAAGTAATTTTAATAACATGTTATTGACGGGCCAAAGTAATGACTGATTAGTCAGTTCATAATGTTGATTAGTCTGAAAGTCATTTAATATGTCATTGACTGGTAAGTCACACAATAATCATGTGTGAATACTTATGTATGCATGCTTGCTATTAATTATGATTATCAGATTTGATAATTTGGTATTATAATTTGCTGAGCTAGCAATCTCAAGAGGCACACAAAAATTTACCTGCACTAAAACTGTAAATGGCTAAACGAAAATGAAAAGTAAGAAAGAATGTTTTTTCAAGTTCGTTTTAAGACACGGGAAAAACCATCGTTATTTTTTCATCGGCTTGTCCCTTTAAAATCCCTCTTTCTCTCAATTAGCCATTCACTAGGAGCAGTTAACCAATTGTGTTGCTCAATAATTGTGGCGCGTGCTACTTAATAATACACCGCCACAATCATTGGGGTTGTAGTGATGAGTTAACAATGGTAAAAGTACAATTTAAGGCTTCTTGAGGTATTCGTTATAAACTCTATTCCGAGAAATTTCAGAAAATTTAGGTTTAAAATGTCTTTCCCGTGTTTTAGGACGCATTTAACGCAATCAATTGTCTTTATAATGGCACCAAAGAATGGAAAATGATCGAATATAAATATGAGAAAATGATATACAAAGCGTGGGAGCCTGAGTACGAGGTTGGAGGATATTCATTGCTTCAAGTTGATTCAGTTGATTTAATCAAATATCCCAAAGTTAAAGACGTACCTTGGTCATTTGTCACTGTGAATGCTGGTGATTGTTTATTCCTCCCGAAAAGTAAGTCATTATCTATTAGTTGTGATAATATATTACCTGAGTTGTTAATACAATTTAACAAAACAAATTAACAAAATGTATACACGAAAAGACCTGGGTACGAAGATGGATTACAAGTATTTTCAGTGTATAGCTATTATACACGCAACACGATAGCTACATCGTAAATTTTTAACAAATTTTATCTTTTGATCAAGCCTGGGTTTCACAGCTATATCGTAATTCATTGCATGGGAATGGCTATTGTCAGCTGTAATCATCGCATAACGTACAGTAGGCAGCTCGATCAATGGCGAATGGTTGTATTTGAAATAAAAATTCACTAAAACATTGAAAATGCGAACGAATCCATCGTTACTTTGATGAAATTGCCATACACACATTGTATGTCATTTATTTACATGCTAATATATGTTATCTACATAATTGTATCATATAATATTATACAATACTTTATAATACGTACCAAGGTTGCCTGAATATGGTCAATGATAGTAATATAAAATAGTGTCTGCTACATGTCACAGTATTTTGTTTACCAAGTTCTGTCTGTTGTTAGGTTACTATCATCAAGTTAACTCGTATGGCAGTAACAACGTTGCCGTTGCAATCTTGTTTTCTCGTCTTGATAATCTTGAAAAATACAATAACACGGGATGTGACTCGCAGAATTTGTCTTATCTTCCTTTATCTCAGCTTGATGTTGACTGGAAATATCCTGGTCATGGTAAAATGACGATGGGAAATTCTCATCTGGAAACTGCCAGGTAACCATGAAATTTGCCTGTTTTTACACAACATCTGTGAAATCCTCCCAGAACAACAACACTTGACTGTCATAAAGACGAGTCACAGGAAAGGTCCTTGACCCTTTGCATGTCGTTCTTAATTTTACCCATATTGCCCATAGAAATGAATTGCAGCTTCTAGAAGATCTCCACACTAGATCTACAAGTTCTCCACACTAGATCTACAAGATCTCCACACTAGATCTACAAGATCTCTACACTAAATCTACAAGATCTCCACACTAGATCTAAAAGATCTCCACACTAAATCTACAAGCTCTCCACACTAGATCTACAAGATCTCCTCAGTAGATCTACAAGATCTCCACACTAGATCTACAAGATGTCCACACTAGATCTACAAGATCTCTACACTAAATCTACAAGATCTCCACACTAGATCTACAAGATCTCCACACTAGATCTACAAGATCTCCACACTAGATCTACAAGATCTCTACACTAAATCTACAAGATCTCCACACTAGATCTACAAGATCTCCACACTAGATCTAAAAGATCTCCACACTAAATCTACAAGCTCTCCACACTAGATCTACAAGATCTCCACAGTAGATCTACAAGATCTCCACACTAGATCTACAAGATCTCCACACTAGATCTACAAGTTCTCCACCCTAGATCTACAAGTTCTCCACACTAGATCTACAAGTTCTCCACACTAGATCTACAAGATCTCCACACTAGATCTACAAGATCTCCACACTAGATCTACAAGTTCTCCACACTAGATCTACAAGTTCTCCACACTAGATCTACAAGTTCTCCACACTAGATCTACAAGTTCTCCACACTAGATCTACAAGTTCTCCACACTAGATCTACAAGATCTCCACACTAGATCTACAAGTTCTCCACACTAGATCTACAAGTTCTCCACACTAGATCTACAAGATCTCCACACTAGATCTACAAGATCTCCACACTAGATCTACAAGTTCTCCACCCTAGATCTACAAGTTCTCCACACTAGATCTATCTACAAGTTCTCCACACTAGATCTACAAGATCTCCACACTAGATCTACAAGATCTCCACACTAGATCTACAAGATCTCCACACTAGATCTACAAGATCTCCACACTAGATCTACAGGATCTCCACACTAGATCTACAAGTTCTCCACACTAGATCTACAAGATCTCCACACTAGATCTACAAGATCTCCACACTAGATCTACAAGATCTCCACACTAGATCTACAAGATCTCCACACTAGATCTACAAGATCTCCACACTAGATCTACAGGATCTCCACACTAGATCTACAAGTTCTCCACCCTAGATCTACAAGTTCTCCACCCTAGATCTACAAGTTCTCCACCCTAGATCTACAAGATCTCCACACTAGATCTACAAGATCTCCACACTAGATCTACAGGATCTCCACACTAGATCTACAAGTTCTCCACCCTAGATCTACAAGTTCTCCACCCTAGATCTACAAGTTCTCCACCCTAGATCTACAAGATCTCCACACTAGATCTACAGGATCTCCACACTAGATCTACAGGATCTCCACACTAGATCTACAAGTTCTCCACCCTAGATCTACAAGTTCTCCACCCTAGATCTACAAGATCTCCACACTAGATCTACAAGATCTTCACGCGTAACAGTAGTGAGAGAGAAAATACATTGTCGGCCATTTTTTACAGTTTTTTCTCCTGTTCTGCGAATGAATGAAATCCTATCATGCAAGTTCAGATCCTAACCTCGTAGTATGGATCAACAAATATTAGTTTTTCGAATGATAGTTTTGGAAGGAAAGTCATTATTTTTTGCAATCATGAATTGTAGATTTGGATAACATGGTGACACTGAGGGATAATAGCGAACCAATCCTTTTTCGTGGGCCTATCGAACATTTTTTTGCTCATTCTGATTATGGCGAAATTCGAAATACGACGTATTTTCACGGATTTACTCGATTACAATTTACGTTCGTCAGGATAAGATTTGTACGGAATATACAGTAGCTAATCATATAACGTGAATGGGCCTTTATCCTTAAACCTTTTTGTAACCTTTTACGCATGGCGCGTGTAATTAATGATAAATTCTTTCTCAACTTGTATTTTCCAACATCTGTTTAGAGAATTACTGAAAGAAGCATCACAAGGTGGTCCCTTAACTTTGGAGTCCATCCCTGTTATCCTCGAGGTAACGAAAACTTGCGTGAGACATTTGTGATAATGTTGTTTGGATTACCAGAAATAGTGTTTCAATTCATTTTTAGTAAAAGGTTCGAATTAAATGAACATATTTTTTACTTATGGCTGTATTTCAAAAGCTCACCCATTCAAACTCATCAGTGAGAGATTTTCGATCTTCTCATAATAACGTTTCCACGACGATATTTTCCCTCAAATAATTTTTTTTGTGTGTTTACGTTACATCTTTACATTGACTAAGAAATAACTGTCACATTGATCAGTAATAACAAAATTTCTACGTCACACTCAATAAGTGTAAGTGAGCTTTTTGAATACAGGCATTAATCTTTCTGTAGTAGTAATTTTTATTTGTTCATTTTCGTAAAACATTTCTTCAGGAACATCTTCACTGGAGAGTTGACAGTGAATCGTTACCAGAAGAGGTAATTTAAAATAATAATGTTGCTATCAAGTTTTATAAATGAGGTCATCTTACATGTAATATACTTTCGTTGAAATGTCGCAATTATTGGTGTCGATGTCCCGTCGTCACGTGTTACGGCTGGGAAACGTTACTTCCGCTAGTAGGAAATATTAGAACTTTGAACCACGATATATTTATGTATGCAACGTTGTTTTTACCTATACAGTATGAAGACTGAGCAAACCTTTAGGACAATGCCATGTTTATTTTATAAGTGACGTATTCATATAGATACTCTCAGTATAGCTATATTTATGTTAGAAACAATTCATCTTTCAGATTTTTCATATTCTGTCAAAAGACAATCAAGCAGTAATCTCGCAAGAAGATATTGATTCGTTAGGTAAAGATGATTTACGGAAATTGTTGTTGCTGCTGGAACGTTATGAGCCTTCAAATATGTATACCTATGAATATTCTTTTGTCAGAGAAGAGGATATAAGGTGAGAAAATCTATCAGTTTTCTACCAAATAATACAAGCAAACTTTTCATAAACATCCCTACAATTCTATTTCCTTCGTCCTTGTGACACGATCGAGGAACAGATTATTTTAATATGAGTTTATAAAAAAATGTTTTGTATTTTGTTCCTTATTGTAATCCTAAGTGTATTTCATGTTGGATGAAACTCAAGATTAGCCCGCTGTCTTCTGTTGTCAGAGTTTAGTTTCTTGTTAAACAAGTCGTACTTGCGATATAAATGAATTCCCGGAGTGTCGAATATAATCGCTACAACGTCTGTATCGTGTTTTTTTTGCCCGAGATTGATAATGACGTTGAAACAAAGATATGACAGTATGATACAGTACATATACGGTTGTACAAGTGCCTTAATACTTTTACCCCACATAAAACAATTTCAAAAAGATAGGTAAGAATGTAACGTAATGGAATTATCGCTTTTAGATTGCTGATCGATACTCTTATGAAGCAGGATGGCGTCCTCATTTTAGACAAGTTTATTAAAGAGTATCAGCAGGTTGGTGGGAAACACGATCTTTTATGCTGAGTATAAATCTACCTAAAATAGAGTTTATAAGCATCACGAAAAATTTATCACGAAATCTTGTTATGAGGAAATAAACTATTCATCCTTGAAACAAGGCTGAAATTCATGATGTGTTGGGAAGTCTTTTTGCTAATTCTGCAGAATTGGTAACAGATAAGATTTCAGAAAGAATAATTTTGCTAGAAAATTGCAAATTTATATTAAATGCTGGAAGAACTTTCCATCTTATGAACAAAGTTTAATATAAAATTGGTTGGCAAGCCTAACATAATCAAACGACATTCCCTGTCATAGTGTAACTTTTTGAGCATCGCGGCCGCAACCAGCGTCATGTTCTTGACGTTTTGACCTGATTAGCAGAGTTAATGTAGCGACAAAGGTCGTCCTTCTAGCCGTCGTTGGAGAGCTTGTTACAAGCTAACTGGATCATAACCCTCGATTTCTTTTATTTCGTCGCTAGTGCAACTATTCTGCAGTCTTAATTGTTATGTCAGTGAAGGTTGAACTCTCGAAAAACATACGAAACTTGTTGAAAACAATTTAATGTTCTTCATCTTGTTTCTTTCCAGCACCTGGGAGGAACAGAAGCGTTTGCATCACAGGTACATGTATATAATATCATTGCATACTTAGTTGTCAGAACGATGTAAATCTTCTAATGAGATGCAGGCTACGATTTCTTGTCTTTTTTTTCATGTGACATCTTAGACTTCCGTTGAGGCGAATATGCACTTATAGATATTAAAGATTACATTTTAATAGATTTTCCCTCTTACATTTATTACAGTTCTATCAAATTAAGAACTTCGATTGGAGCAAATTATAGCATTAAGATAAATAAATCTGAATACCGATATTTCAAGGCACATGCTGATACATCTAATCTGCATTTCTGTTTTTCCTTTTATTCTACTTGAATCATCCGCACTCGTCCGATCATACAATGTTCAAAACACTCATCTAAATGTTAGTTCTCTTAATTTTCTGTTTCTGAAGAATGAACGGTACAACTTTATTTCTTGTTCTTAAAGATTTTTCAAGGCTTGAAGTCTGCTCATGGAAACATGGCAACACCAGAAGAGGTAGAAAAAAATCTTGACACAGTTTTGCATCCATACATACAATATCGAAAAAAAGCTGGGATTAAAAATGATTATCACAGTAATGATGATGACGACGATAATAATGATGATGATCCTGATGATGATGATAATGATGATAGCAATTATCCAGATGATAATCATGATCGTGATGATAGCAATGATCCAGATGATCGTCGTGATCGCGATGATAATAAAGATCGTAATGAAGATGATGATGATATCAATGAAGGTCTAAGGGATGAGCTTTGATTGAAGTTATTTAATTCTTATAGGGTTTTTACTCTGTTAAATTATCCGCATGTTTTTATATTTCATCCTACGCACTCGCTGAATAATCCTGGATTAAATAAAGCTTAGATATGACATGAATTGTCTATGAAAAATTCTGCAATCTTACTGGTTTTTAATTGTCTTCAATCAATAGTGAAGATATTGTCTGAAAGTTTAGTTGGCTTAACCAGAAGGGGGGAGGGTTAGATTTATTTTGTTCACAAAAGAAATTTTGGCTTATCTTTGATGTGACGTCACTGGAGTGTCTTTGATAAGGAAGTTTATCCAAGATGACGGAATTCTCATTTCCTCAATATGATTTATAATTACCAAATGTCTAGCTTTACATAAGATACAAAATTGTCTTTTTCCACTTTTTGGATAACTTTTTCATTCGTATTAAACATGATTAAAAAGCAATTAAAATAACGCATGCAAAAAAGTGTCACAAAATTAACAATAATTAAATGGACAATATATTAAATATAGCTAAAACCAACACGCGCTTTCTGTAATCACTACGTAGATAGTTTAATTCTTATGAATTTATTTGTTTTTAATTGAGATTTGAAATTTCATTGAAATCATTGAAATTTCATGTGGTTGATGAAATAATGCAGCAATACAAAAAGGAAAATCTTGCTTGAAATTTCATCCTCCTAATAATTTCTCTGCTTGCTTTGATTAAATGTAAGCTTTTTACATTTAGAAACCTTTGATCTAGAAATGCGTTCCTTAGAAGAAAAATAAGAACAATAAGTAAACGCCAAGATACGCCATGTTTTTTGCTTCACTTTTTGATGGAGAGTAAGTTCTCCAGGAATAATGGTAGAGCTCAGTGGTCTGATCGTTTTAGAGCTGATTGGAAGCGTTTTGTGATCAATCTGATTAGCCGATTTAGTAGTTTCGAAGCAGACAAAAATCGTGGAGATTCGGCGTGATCGATCTGGAGACGTGTTTCAGTTGACTGATCATGACCGGATCAGACGATCAAAGACAGTGTTTTGCAGCCGAAGACAGCTATTTGTATAGGAGAATTTAGGTTTCAAAAGAAATGGATATTGATGGCAGCCGAGATTTCCACCAACATGCTTTCTGTTTGTGCAAAACTGGCGTATTCTGTCACGTGACGTATATTTGATGATTTTCGGATAAATTAGAAGGGTAAGGTGGTTATGACATTCTCAGACGCAATGGTGAATAATTAACCACACAATAATTATTTTAACAGAAATGAACAGGATGCTACTTTATGCAACTTCTTTTCCTCAATTATATGTCATGTGCCAGAAATGGGAGATAAATTTTGCCTCAAGGACAGGGTTAATTTATTGTGTTGTTCAAAACGGAGTTCGCGGTAACCCAGGAATAAATCATGGGCTAAATTTAGGGCTCCACTTCGCTAGGCTTTTTCAAAGTTATTGTCAAATACTAATGAAGATATTCCACACTTATATACACGTTATATTATTACATTTTCACTATTATCTCGCCCGGAAAATATCGAAAGACTTTTTCTTCATTAAAAACACTTCAAAATTTCTTTATTCCAAACAAGACGATCAATATAAACGGACATGTAAAACAATAAATATTTATGCTAAAAAAGGCAAATTAGCGCAAAGAAAATCGCCAACAAAGAAATGCATAGAATCAAAGTCTTCTTTTCGCAGCAGAAATTGAGGCAATGCGGATAAGACCATACATGAGGGACAACTTTTGACAGAATAAGTCTTTGTTTTGTTCTCAATATTGCTCATAATAAATGTTGAAAGTTGTGTCCTGATCCAAGTTCCCATTTCCTTCGTAGATATTCTGTTTTATATGTAATGTAGCAAACGAAGATATAGCTGCCATGGAAATTAGCTGATTCTAATGATACTCTTATAGAATTTCTATCTAAATATACGTCACATAATTTTTTATTACAATATTTTAAATGTTTATAAAAACCAACAAGTTCCGTGTTAGTGCACTACACCCTATTTCTTTTCAGTTTCTTTATTGTTCAACAACTTTATTTCTTCTTTCCAAATTCACGTGGTCGTATCTTCATTGATGTTGATTTCAGAGAATAATGATAACCTTTCCAATGTTTCCAGTTGACTCCATCAGCGTACGATGTGTGATTGCCATAATGATAAAAACCATTCAAATTGGAATCATGACAATAACGATACCACCAGGCTCCTTTGAATTCCACTGCACAATTATTGCCAAAATCATTGTCAGAATCCTTGGTGCTGAAAGCCATATCGTTATGTTTTTTCAACGAGTCTCCTGCTGTACCTTAATGCAAAAGTATATGACGTTTTAAAAATTAATAATGTAATAGAACGAATAGGAGTGCAAGTAATGCCAAAATCCTACGAGTGTTTACTATACCTACAATTTGTTAGCTACGAATTTGATTTTGGCAATAATTCAACGACTCGTATACTTAATTCTTTATTCGTTACTTATTAATTTTATATCTTCTGTAATCTAATATGATGCAATTAATTTTATTGAACTTCAAGATGATTGTCAAATTTTGCTTGTAAGTAAAATTGTATAGAAAATAAAAATATTTTAGTGTATTTTGTACCTTCATTAACTCAGATTATAATTAAACAGTTACCATTCTGACCCAAGGTTTTAAAACTCATTGTCGACAGGTGGATATTCAACCCGACAATATTGTCGGGAAGTTTAAATATCACATAACTCCGCGAATATTATCAATAAAACGACGACAGTACCACCAAACGATAGAGCATAAAAATCTGATGCATATTGTGTAATTTGTTTGGTGCTACGCTCAATTTAGAATGATTTTCTAACCTCGAAACGGTCACTAAGGCGAAATATATGCATACGACGCGTTATTGAATGGCATTATCAACACTCGATGTTCAATTGCTCATATCTTCGTTTCTCTTCAACGAAAAACAACGCAAAACATACTAAATGAATCCTTATCTTGAATTCTATTGTTTGGAGCAATTTTTGAGCGATAACAGAAAAAATCATACATTCTATGGCGATTCTTACGGTCGAGAAGCGGTCGGGCAACTTCGGAAGCCAAAATCATCGTTGCTATGGCAGCTGCGGGGATAATAAGTTCAAAAATCGCTTCCGGAGGGTTTTCTTACCCTAGATACGGAATTTCATTGGTTGAGAGAAAATAACAAACCTTTTATGGCAACTTAGGTGATTTGAAAGAATTGCGCACAGTTGCTCAGGTCTCATTTTCCGTTGGCGTGTCAGATTGTAAACATGGCATCAACAAGTGCACTCACTTTAGAAGAGGTTCTTTTAGAAATAGCCGATTCTGATTGTGCTAGTAACAACGGAATGTCTTCAGACGAAGAAGAGTTCATCAATCGAGAGTTAGGCGTAATTTCTGGAGCTTCAAGGTAAATATTCAGATCATTTTTACTACATTGTTATGCGGTTGCCATGACGCGGCGCGTCTTCGTTTGCATGAAGAGCGTTACTTTCACGTTTTAGTATTAGATTATTTTCTCCAAATAACCTTTCCCAACCAGAATTACTAAATGTAAGTTGTGTATACTATATCGTTGTCGAAAATTCATGATAGATTATGAATATAACCGCAATCCTAAGCAAACCAAAGTGACCAAACCCTTTGGACGTGTGTTCGATTACATACACAGAGTAGCCCCAAGTAGACGTGTGTTCGATTACATACACAGAGTAGCCCCAAGTAAACTAATGTATAATTATTTTGACTCTTTCTCCAGTGTACTTTTGTATATGATTTATAATTATATGAAACATTTTTAGTGATGAAGATACTGGTCCTACAGATGTTGCTGATGCTGCTAATGAGGAGGAAAGTTGTAGTTCTGACACATCTTCAGAACACCACTCCCCTGTTAGAAAACGATCTAAGGGTAGAGGGAAGGGTAGAGGGAAGGGTAGAGGGAGAGGGAGAGGAAGGGGTAGACCCACTAGGTCCCAAGGTGAAAGCTCCCTGTCTCCTAACCCATCAGGCCCCAAAGTGCATGAGGGATTTTGTGATCCTGACATTAGGAATGTTCTTCCAGATTTTGCCCCTAGCCGAGCTGTTGGGATCCACCTAGATCATGCTTTCACCAGAAGTATGAACCGTGAAGTTGAGTTCTTTAGGCTCTTCTTCACAAGGGAAATGCTTCAAGAGGTAGTCACCCATACCAATGCTTATGCCCACATAAAAATAGGTACTCAACCATCCACTTACACAACAAAGGACGGGGCTTGGCAACCCACCAACCTTGAAGAGATTGAGAGGTTGATTGCCTTTTTAGTGTATGCTGGTTTGGTAAGGGTCAACAGTGACATAACAAATTATTGGAGTATAAAGACCTTATATCATGGTCTGTGGGCAAGAAAAATAATTTCTCGGACTCGGTATAAGGCTGTAATGGCATTTCTGCATGTGGTGGACCCCGTCACTGAAGACCCCAGCAATAAACTGCGAAAGGTAGAGTCTTTTGTTCAGTCTTTTAGAGAGAGATGTGAACAACTGTACCAGCCTTCACAGAATATTGCTGTTGACGAACGCATGGTCAAATCTAGGAATAGGTCAGGGATTAGGCAGTTCATGAAAGATAAGCCTACTAAGTGGGGGATAATGTTATGGGTTGCTGCCGACAGTTCTAATGGGTATACCTGTAACTTTGAGATCTACACAGGAAAGAAGGCCAAAGGTTCATCTGAGCATGGGTTGGGCTATGATGTTGTGATGAATTTATTAGATAAGTATTTTGATCAGGGTTATCATGTTTATTTTGATAATTTTTACACTTCCCACCAATTAGTTAGGGACTTATTCTTGCATGGTACTCCCTCCACGGGCACAGTTAGAATAAATAGGGTAGGTTTCCCGCAGAGTCTAAAAGACGTAAAAGCCTGGGCCAAGACCCAGAAGCGTGGAGGGTTACGGTGGGTTAGGGAGTCAGAGGTGTTGACACTGCAATGGGTTGACAACAAGCCTGTATCAGTGTTGACTACTATTGACTCAGCCAATGACCAGGTGGTAGCTAAGAGAAGGGCAATGGTGGACAAGAAATTTGCTAAGATAGATGTCCCCCAGCCTAAGGCCATACATAGGTACAACCAGTACATGAATGCCGTAGATAGGTCTGATCAGCTTCTTGCTTCTCACAACATTCGTAGGAAATGTTATAGGTGGTGGAAAATTTTGTTAAATTATCATCTTATAGATATGGCAATTGTTAATAGTTTTATACTGTTTCAGAAACATCGGGCCGAGAACAAGGATATAAAAGAGCTGCAGCGCAAGAAGGGGTATACCATAGTAGATTTTCGGGAGGCAATTGTAAGGCAATTGTGTCATATGACAGACTATGATGACCCTCCGGTGTCTAGCATGACTAAACATGAAGTGAATCCGGATTCTTTCCATGTAGAACATACACCTGGGATCGAGCCTGGTGTAAGACGCAATTGCTTTCTTTGCTATAAGGAAGGGAGGGGGGAGAAACGTGTAAATACTTTTTGTGAAGGTCCTGAGTGCCAGAGAAAGTATTTCCACATTTCTAGTGACTATAATTGTTTCAAAGCATGGCATAGTAAAGCATGTGATAAGTATAGATAATTTTTTGCATGTAAATTTTCTTGTTGTGATAAATAAATTTGAAAAAAAATAAAAATAAATAAATACAAAATAAAAACAAAAAAAAGTAAAGTTAGTTTACTTTACTCACACTGGCATAAAACCACCTGACATTGGAACAGTAGAATTGTAAATCTTTAGCTTTCTGTCATTAGTAAATAACAGTTTTATTTCTTGTAAATGTACTACCTGTATTAGACTAGCAAAATTGTATGTAGTTGACTTTAGGTTGAATCATCATCTGGTCTAAGTTTTTTTACCGTCTTAGATCAAGTATGGTGTCACATCAATTTTGGCCAGAAAAGGAATATATTCACCACATATTTCAATTATGTGGATGAGTCCTGATTTGGCACACATTTTTTTATACCTACAATGTTCAACAGCTTATCTCAGGAGGAACCGTAAAAATAAATGTGTTTCATTTCCTGGAAAATGTGGTTGTTTGTGTCTTATTCTAGATTTATCAAGACTTACTCTAGTTCCATAATACCCCCATGAAAATGAAGCTATGAAAAAAGAGCAAAAGTATCATAATATACTTTGACAATGACTAAATCACTATATATACTACGCAGGGTTTCATGAGAGCACAAAATGTAAATTTTAGTCTATTACATGTACTATTTTTAAAAAATCAGTAAAAATACTTCTATTTACCCTACAAGTATGAAACTTCGTGTAAACGTAGAAGAAGGGTAGAGCTTTATGTCACAACAATGTAATTTGACACAGCCCTTTTAATTTGAGCCACAGCGCCGTTTATGCATAATTAACATGTATTTTTTTTGCATAAATTATGCAAACATTTTGCATAAATTATGCCAGGGGCGTGCGATGAAATTGAAATTGGTATCGTTCGAAAGCGGAAGCTCTCCTCTATCGAATGACACCCACTGAGCTATATAATAATTCCTGGAGGACCGGCTCCTGTCAAAAAAGTGAAGCCACTAAGATGGCGGATTTTGAGCTTTGCTGACGCCACTTGGTTCCTTTTGCTCATGGTAGTTACCACTGACATACCGCGATACAAGGTGAAAAACTGTGTCCATCCCCCTCCCGATTTTTATGAAAATATTTTCAGCTTTCCGTATATATTTTTTTGTTTTTCATATAAAATGGATAAAAGCGTTTCTCTTTTTCCCTGTTCAACAAATGGAAAGGACACTTATTATAAAGGCCCTTATTTTATAACGTCCAGGTAAGCCGTTTTTCAACTTTTTTACTATAAACAATTTCGTTTTTGGCCTTTCGAGTTTGGACTATGAGTATAAACTGATTACCAAAGCCTCTGAGACAATAAATCCATCAAAACGTGTGGTACAAACAGCAAAGATACTATTTTCGCCTTTTGGTGCATTACAGTGCTGTCAATGCAATGTTTATACCTAAATTTTATCATTTTTTCTTAACTTGTGTGGGGAAAAAATTAAATTCCTGGCAGTGTCAATCTTTTCAGTTTAGTCTATGTTGTTTTCATGATAGCAAACATCAATCACGCAGGTCCAACTTAGCTAAGTTTCTCCCACTCGTGCAGGCTCATATTGTCAGCGGACAACTTACACAAAATTGAGAGCAAGGCGTAAAACGAAAAGCTTTTAATTTTTTATGCGAAGACCGCTGGAAAACTGAGCCCTCTTTACCGGGAGAAAATTTGCCGAATATGACCAACGTGAATGTTAATAGGTAAACCATTCCCTCAGTGAGTCTACTATAGTCACTCTTCTATTGATCCCACCCAACATCAATTAACATGATCTGAGGGTGCTGATACAAAATAATAAGTTGCTGTAAACAGTGTAAAATTCCAACCTCTGATAGTGAGCCTGTTAAAGCCTAGTTAATATATTATCTTTTTTACCTTGTCAAATCCAAAGTGAAATGATCAATTATCACAGATTTTAATTTATTTCTTAGCTTCTTGCACCTTGTGAATAAATCTTGATCATATCTCCATTTTTATTTTTCAGGATGAAGTTCATGCATTTTATGACTGTGCATTGTTATTCTTCATTTTCATGTTATCTGATTTTGTTGTTGGCTGGTGTTTTTATACCATTTGTCATATTTATTAATTAATGAAATAAATATAAACATGCATTGACTGAGGAGTGTGTCTTTAATCTGCAGCAACTTTTGTAATTTTCTGTTTATGGTATCAACCTCCAAAGGGGTTATATTCATTAGGCTAATCAGTGGAGCCTATGGAGGGATAAATGTTATTATTTACTATGACCAAGGGTCCAGGGATGCAATTAGAGAATGCTGAAAACTTTTAAAGCCTATTAATGTTTATTAAGGTACAAGTTGATGACTTGAATGAAAAGTATATTTATATATATATTATGCAAATATGATTCTTGGTTGAAACTATATTGCTATTAATTAAAAACCAGGGGGGAGAATTGTTATTTACAAAAACCAGGGGGGAGAATACTGCCGTAGCGGGCTCATAATTGAGCCTGGTCAGTGGTAAATACCATGGCCAAAAGGAACCAAGTGGCGTCAGCAGAGCTTCTGCGGTTGCGCAGAAGGGCGAAGTCCGCCATATTGGTGGCTTCAAAAAGATGGCGGCGAAGTTACCGAAAAATGACGAGCTGGTCCTCCAGGAATTATTATATAGCTCAGTGATGACACCATTTTCGTGGCGGTATGTCTTTTTGTTTGGGAGATATTTGAGTATCAATGAGCGCACTTCAAATTGTTGACATTTTGACCCGCCGGCAATGAGTTAATGACTGGAAGCTGATTAAAAATATACAATAATAATCTGTAAGTAACTAACAGTTGCAATCAATTAAAATCTTGGCTCTTTGAGAACAACTTTGTGTTGGGATGGAATTTTGGAATATATCCTAGGTCTTGTTTAGAAAAGTATAATTTCCAACCAGCATTTACTTTTACAAATGGTTTATATAATAAAAATGCTTTAGAAATTGTGTAGGGAAAACCTAGCTGTGGTTTTCTAGGCTAGCATGATTCAATATGAAAAGCTTTTACTATGAACTATGACTATATAGTGCAAAATAATGTATTAAGTGCAGCAAAATTAATTGTTGTTTGCATAATTATATATGTATTATATATTCCTTCAATCCTTCCTCCACAAAATAATTCAGTTTATGTTCCATATAACAGATAAAAGAATTAAGATATGTTGTTAAATTTTGGAATATTACCAGTATATTGTATTTGCTGCTACTTAATATAAATCTACTCTATGTAAATAACAATAGGATATATTCCAAAATTCCATCCCAACACAAAGTTGTTCTCAAAGAGCCAAGATTTTAATTGATTGCAACTGTTAGTTACTTACAGATTATTATTGTATATTTTTAATCAGCCTCCAGTCATTAAAACCTTGGGTCAGAATGGTAACTGTTTAATTATAATCTGAGTTAATTAAGGTACAAAATACACTAAAATATTTTCATTTTCTATACAATTTTACTTACAAGCAAAATTATGTTATATTTGGGACAACAAAAGTGTAGTGCATTGTTCAGGGGTAATCTGATTCAATAATGAAAAGCTGTTACCATGAACTATGACAAATATATATTGCAAAATAAGCTTAATATGTATGTATTAAATGGAGCAAAATTGTTGTTCGCATAGATTTATACTGATATATTAGGTAGCCGTAAATACAATGTACAGAATATAGAAATTATAAAATATATTGTGTATTTAATGAAGTTGTTCTTGCATATTTTATATCATGTAGTATGCAATTCATATGAAAATTTGGAAATTCAAATTTGGATCCAAAATGTTTTCATTTCCAACCAAACATTATTCAATTTCAATAGCAATGTAGATATTAAACGGTAGATAGCAACGCGCAAAGCTCCACTTTGTAGGTTTATGAATGAGACCAAATCAACAAATTCAACTGTTTACAATTAACTAACCTTGTCAGTCCTTGTGTTCGTTTCATCGTTTGTATATTATTATATATGTATTATATATTCCTTCCCCCACAAAAGAATGCAGTTTATGTTCCATATAACAGATAAAAGAATTGAGCGTACTTGAATTAGTGGAAATGCTAAGTTTGGCTGCGAAATTTGGTAAAATACGGAAAATATAGCCATGTCAAATTAGCGTATTTTGTATTACGCGCGGAAATTGTAACTAATTTAGTTTCAAACTTCCGGCCGTAAGATTCCGTCTTTTCTCAATCCTGGTTTTAAAGATTCCGTCTTTTCTCATTCCTGGTTTTAAAGATTCCGGCTTTTCTCATTCCTGGTTTTAAAGATTCCGGCTTTTCTCATTCCTGGTTTGAAGATTCCGGCTTTTCTCATTCCTGGTTTTATCATTCCCCGTTCCCTTCCCCGTTTCCTTCCTTGATTCCCCGTTCCTGGTCTTAAAGATAGCCACAGTAATTTTGATAAAATCCAAGTAGAACGTTATGTTGCTTGGAAAAAGCGAAGGCTTAAAGATGGTCGCAGGATATAATATTGTCAATCAAAGTAAAAAATATTACAGATTTTGTCGTTTGATCAAATTTATCCCGTAAATAGCAGGGATTTCAAGAATGTAGGACGGCAACACGACGACGACGCGGCTGAAACACTCCTTCAGAAAATGCTATGGTAAAGAGTTGTTGTCTATTATCAATCGTGTCAATGTAATGAAGTATAAGACTCTGACAACATTAGATTTATATGGCCGGAACATTACTACGGAGCCTTATGTTCCATTACATGCACTATATAAAGCCATCACCTCGAGTTTCATAGCATTCTCTTGTATGTACTCGTTTAAATAATATTTCATTCTTTCTTTACATTTTACAGTTTCTTCCGACGTTTATTTCAATGGGGCCTCGACCGCACGTTATCAAATCCTGCTATCCCTGAGATTTTTGTTTTGATATTGTTTTTAATTTTAAAATTTTTGCAAATGTTCAAAATACTGTAAAGATATTTCAAATTTCTGGGGTTGATCGGCGAAGTACCAACGTTTCTTCATTTTATCTACATATATCAATGACTCATTGATAATTTTTCTGGCGATGCAATGTTTAATATGCTGAATTTATAATCACTGCAAAGTTGCTTGTAAAGAGAGCAGGACTCTCTTTGCTTACCATTAAAATACTTACCATTATAACCTCCAACATTCAACTTGTACTTCTCACTTTCACTGCTGACTTTAAATGAATCATAATGAGCGTATGTAGTGTTTCCAGATGTATCTTCCATGTCGATACGAAGTTCATTTTGTGAAATATTTGTCATTCTGTGTGTTTTGTCAAGACCAAGTCAATATTCTCCGCTCAAGTTACCAAAACCGTGTTTGTAATCTTGCCATCCTCGGTAGAAGTCAACACTTCCATCAAGACGACGTTGAAATACAGTCCATCCTCCACCTGATGTTCTCATATCACAAAACACTTTGAAACTTCCCTTTCCATCAGGGTCAATTTCATAAATTCCACTTTGTTATTTCCTTTTTCATACAAATCAGCGCAGTGGACACCTGAAAAATATCATGGTTTTATATTACAACTTAGTGGTCCAATAAAAGCAATAATAATTTCTTGTAAACGGGCTAATAATCCCTTGCATTTCTCCCATGGGAATGCAATAGCTTCAATAGCTTTTAACTTTTCGTGTATTGGGTTTTGGCTATCAGATTATTTTCTGTTTCACGGCAAAAAGGAAGAAATGTGCCCTTTTTTGTGTTGACAAAGTGCCGTTTTGGTAGATTGTCGAAGCTTATGTAGTGGCCAATTATTTTTAAGTTTGCCTACTTCACCAAGTGAACCAGAACCTTCCCCACTGGTGTAAAAAACAAAGCAGTTTATGTCTGCATTCTAAACTTCAAATCGTTCAGGAAAAAACAAACTAAAACAGCCAAGCCACCCATGCATATACGCATTTTAGCTGCCTTTTTTATTAACTGAAAAGTTCCTTTAGAAGCTTGTGCTCCTAAAAGAAAAAATAGATGCTTCCTATTATCCCGAGAGATAAATTATATTGATTTTGTGGCACTTTGCTCGTTGAAGGATAAATTTAGCGAAAAGGGTTTACGACTTCATTTTCAGAAAAAATCACAACTTAAATTCAGTTAATAAAAATGTATCAACTATCGATCCTCCGGCAGAAATCAAACCTACGCCTTTGTGATCCCTGGTGCCATCCTAAATTTGAGTTAGTAACATTTCCACTCAAATTAAAATTAGGACCCAGAAAGGTTCTCCTTCATTCATTGAGTAAAGTGCCATAACGTCTGAATTCAGTGATTTATTCTCACTATTCCCAGGAATTACGATGCTAAATCCACACCAGCTACGCTCGCTCTTTACAATTGCCTCTCTAGCTTCGTGGCAAGGGCATTGCACTGGCGACGCAAAGGCGTAGGTTCGATTCCTGCCGGAAGACCGACATTTGACACATTTTTAACATACAGACTTTGAGATGCTTGCTGTTAATTATTTTAAATTAGATTACTGATTGCAAGCAACCTCCCTAAGCTCGATCCAGATCGGGAATGGTTCGCTTCTTGTGATGCCTCCCACCCCAATCAAGATTAAAAGAAGAGACCCTGAGGTTCATTCGTACGTATTGCATTAATGTGGCGCATATTGACATGCAGATGATTTAAAATATTCTCATTGCAAAATAGTTGAAAAATTTAAATATTAAAGTTCTTGTAGTTTTTGTTCAAAATATGAAATTACTAGACTGACCAGAAATTTATAATCATGTTGTTTATGATAAATCTAAATTGGAATCATACCTGATTTCCTGGTAACCTTTTGTTTTTCAACCTCATTCTTTGTCTATACAAAATTAAGCAATGTAAAAATTAGAAAACTATTGGTTTTAATCTTTACATGAATCAATGTAATATTTCATTAATAATTAATTACACCGACTTCACCTAAGTACTTTTAAAATTACGTCTATATATTTCTGATTTCTATAAATCTTCAACGCACATTTTTTTCGGTATAGACAAAAGAAACATGAGATGCAGTATTTTGAGAAAGAGTTGAATTTTGGCACGAATACAGAGTGATCCCAAGATCGCAGCTATATAAAATATTTTCTTACATGCAGTTAAATAATATCAAACAGATTTTGTTATGAAGAATGCTTTTTGGCAATCAAACCATCCAAATACATATTTTTAACCGAAAGTGCATCAGGAAGCGAGGCACTTTCGGTAAATCTCTGGATACTTAATTCCTACATCCCTGGGATTCTATGCGCCCCTTATTTCTATGCGCCCCCTATTTCTTATCATTTATTTTAATATTTCGTCGAATTCCCCGAGCGGAAGGTCTATAAATTATATATTATATCGAAACAACGTGTAGGCAGCGCAAAAGCTGGGTGAAATGGCTTCTTTTGCCACCATTTTGAAATTGTTGAAAACCTCGAGTCGTGTGCGAGGCATCCACGCGTGGTACACGCAAACTCGAATACCCTGCAGCGGGGATTAATTTACTGATCACATGGGACAAATCGAGCTTTCTGATTGGATGATTTACAGTTGAGATATAATATTATAATTTATATTGTGTTAATCAACGGTATGACGAAACTATCAATTATAATATTTGAAATTTGATTGTATTTTGCAGCATCGCTAAGCGATAAAAATCCGTAACTTTGTCATGTTTTCTGGAATTACATCATTATTTATTTCATGATGACGGAATTCAAATTATGCCTAGAATTTGTCAATCTTACCGCTTCAACATCTTGCATCAACATCCAATCTCCCGTTTTCGTTTCTTCTTTCTTTCTAATAACGTTAGTCAGTTGGCAATTTTCAACATTTTTTGTTGTTCTGTAGTTGAATCCAACACATTCGAGTTTGTTATTGCAGTGATTGTGACACTCGAACATGACAAACGAAGACGTGATATTGTGTCTTGATATTATCTCGTCATCAGGTAAAGATTGACCACCTAAGAATTTTAACAAAATTCGAACAACACTGATTTTCGAATGCAAAATGTCCAAGCTTTGGATAGCAGATTGTTTTCATTATGTATGAAGTATTAAACGATATTTCACGACAATATGTTTTACTAATTTCAATCGATGCGGAATATTGCTTAGAATAATTGTGCCAAGTTTCATTCCGATCAAACAAATAATGATTGAGCCTTAGAGTTTTTTAAAGAGCGTCGCCCCCAAACAACAACAACAACCTTAGAGTTTTTTAAAGAGCGTCGCCCCCAAACAACAACAACAACAACAAGAGCAACAACAACAACAACAACAACAACAACAGAAGCAGCAAAAGCAACAGCAAAAGCAACAGCAAAAGCAACAGCAACAGCAACAGCAACAACAGCAACAACAACAACAACAACAATAACAACAACAACAACAAGATTAGCAACGGTTAGGGACCAGTTCCTGGTCCAAGAACATGGAAAGACAAGTCACCTTTTATGATTGTGTCGTATCTCTTCTGGGAACATTGGTTTGCAGAAATGTTTCCAATATCAAGCAGCAGCAAGCTCAAGATTGCCCCAACAAACATCGTTTAAATTGTCTTTTTTCGACTCGATAATATAGCACGATATTTACCAGGGAAAGAGACGAATACAAAAGGATCTTGAAGCTGTGTTTCATAAAAATTTGAAAATTCAATCATAAGTAGGGAAGCGGACGCCTTTAATTTCAATTATACTGTTAGACAGCGAAGGGTTTGAAGTATCGTTGGCTGTTTTGAGTTAATTAAAATAGAGCAAAAAAATAATTAAATGAAACTAAATGCCCACTAAATGTCCGGCAGTGGCAAGAGCATTGCACCGGCTTCGCAAAAGCGTAGGTTCGATTCCCGCCGGAGGACCTATTGTTGACTCGTTTCTCCATTAACTGTTCCTGGCTTGAATTTGAAGTGTGTATTAAGACCCTAAAAACCTCTAGAATTTACTTGCATCGAGTGAAGTGCAAAAAATCATAATTAATTTCATTTCAGTTTAAGAATTGCTCTTTTCTAAGTATAACTACCTTCTCTGTTAATTGAGGGAAATTTAATTAAGTTTCTGTTATGAAAGGGCGTCTATACAACCTACAAACCTTAAAAATAGCCCAAGATTCGGCCGCATTTCGCGAAGCAAAGTAATTAGAGATAAATTTCAAAGTTTAGCATAACTTACTACAACTCTGATTAAGATATATTATTGGAAATCATTTCAAGACTTTATTTGAAAAGCTAGTTTCGGGAGAAACTGCATGGACGAACAGTAATAATAAATCTCTTGAATTGCATGTCGAGAAAGCTGATTTAATGTGTTGATATATATACTGAATAGCATACCAGCTCTTTTTTAAGTTCAACTACGTTCTTTGTAAACTGAGGGAAATTTAATGAAGTTTCTGTTATCAAAGGGCATACATAACCTACAAACTCCTAAAATAACACAACATTTGACCGCATTTCACGAAACAAAGTCAATGGAAATAAATTTTAATGTTAAAATGACTTACCAACATTCTGATTAAGATATATTATTGGAAATCATATCAGGACTTTATTTGAACAGTTGGTTTGGGTAGAAGTTAGTTTTATTAGTAGCACTCAACAGCAAATAAATAATTTAAGTGCAAGCTAAATATTAAATATTAACGTTCCTTATTTGGCAGTTTATGGACTGCTAATTCTTCAAACTTCGTACCCAGGGCCAGTCAGAATTCCATTTTATGTATTGTACAATCTCGTTCCCCGAACCCGCGATTCCTCCGGTGAGGAAACAAATGCTAATGTAACAGCCATTTTTGATGTTGTCTTTTATTAAGAATTCTTATTACAAAGTAAATGTTTGCAATTTACAACAAGAACCGTTATAAAGGAAACAAGAATAATTGAAATTAGTGGATTCAAAGCTTATTATACTCAATAACATTTACGTACGGACTCGATATAGTCGATAGCACTGGCAAAGAATCACATTGCAACGTTTGTATGAATATTTCAAAGTCCTGACAGCATAATTAACTTCCCGTAGCTTATTTCAAGCAAACATTTGACTAGCGACGTCGAACAAGATCAGCTAACCACGTCGTTGATCGTAGACAAAAAGGCCCCACTTTAGCCAAAATAAAATATTTTGTTCTAGGCCACTCAAGCTGATCTTCTTGGCTGTTTCAAAGTGCAGCAGGAATCGAGGCAATGCGGATAAGACGATGCATGCAGGAAAGCCAGAGAATTTTGTCTGGTGTGGAGAATATTTAAACGTATATTTTATTAACGATACTGCAATAGCAGATATTTTTCCAATGTCAATTTAGCCAAAATAGAGGCTAATTGTGCCACAGCATTGAGATAAACTCGTGACTGACATTCATTTGTTTAAGCACGTAGTTTGCTTAATTGGTACAGTTTGTTTATTTTTCTAATGCCGGCCGCTAGGCAACTTAGGACTCTTAGCTATTTCACACATTAAATTTCTAAACGGCTTGAAATAATCTTAAGCTAAGAAGAGTATATTCAGTGTTTCTGAAATAAGCTCGGTTTCGTGTTGGTCGTATAATTGCGTGACAATCCCTGCATGGTGACAATCCCTGGTAACAATCTCAAACGGCTGAATAATTTCATTTCATTTCAAGAATTGCGTTTTTTAATCGTATACATGCAGACTAAGTCCTTGAATTCCATGTCGAGAAAGCTGGTGTATATCAGTGCTGATATAGCTCATATACTGAATTGAATGCCAGCTCTTTTTAAGTTTAACTACATTCTTCGTTAACTAGGGGAAATTTAATGAAGTTTCTGTTTTCTAAGAGCATCTATAACTTACATACTCTCAAATTAACACAAAATTTTGACTGCATTTTACAAAACAATGTCAATGGAAATAAATTTTAATGTTAAAAATGACTTACCACAATTCTGATTATAAGATATATTATTGGAAATCATATCAGGACTTTATTTGAAAAGCTGCATGGTTTCGGGAGAAACTGCATGGACGAAAAGTAACAAAATACTAATTTGCATGTTAGTAGCACTAAACAGCAAATAAATAATTTAAGTGCAAATTGCGTATTAAATATTAACGTCCCTTATTTGGCAGTTTATGGACTGCTAATTCTTGAAACTTCGTACCCAGGGCCTGTCTGAATTCCATTTTATATGTATTGTGCAATCTCGTTCTCCGAACCCGCGTTACCTCCGGTGAGGAAACAAATGTAACGGCCATATTTGATGTTGTCTTTTATTAAGAATTCTTATTACAAAGTAAATGTTTGCAATTTACAACATGAACCGTTATAAAAGAAACAAGAATAATTGAAATTAGTGGATTCAAAGCTTATTATAATCAATAACATTTACGTACGGACTCGATATAGTCGATAGCACTGGCAACGAATCATATTGCAACGTTTGTATGAATATTTCAAAGTCCTGACAGCATAATTAATTTCCCGTAGCTTATTTCAAGCAAAATATTTGACTAGCGACGTCGAACAAGGTCAGCTAACCGCATCGTAGATCGTAGACAAAAAGGCCCCACTTTAGCCAAAATAAAATATTTTTGTACTAGGCCTTTCAGGCTGACCTTCTTGGCTGTTTCAAAATTCAGCAGGAATCGAGGCAATGCGGCTAAGACCATGCATGCAGGAGAGCCATAGAATTTTGTCTGGTGTGGAGAATATTTAAACGTATATTTTATTAACGATACTGCAATAGCAGATATTTTTCCAATGTCAGTTTAGCCAAAATAGAGACTAATTGTGCCACAGCATTGAGATAAACTCGTGACTGACATTCATTTGTTTAAGCACGTAGTTTGCTTAATTGGTACAGTTTGTTTATTTTTCTCTAATGCCGGCCGCTAGGCAACTTAGTACTCTTAATTTACACACTAAATTTCTAAAAGGCTTGAAATAATCTAAAGCTAAGAAAAATATTCAGTGTTTCATCTGAAATAAGCTCAGTTTCGTGTTGGTCGTATAATTCCGTGATTATCCCTGCATGGTGACAATCCCTTCTAACAATCTCAATCTCAAACGGCTGATTAATTTCATCTCATTTCAAGAATCGCGTTTTTTAATTATATATATACATGCAGACTAAGTCCTTGAATTGCATGTCGAGAAAGCTGGTGTATATGTGCTGATTGATATATAGCTAATATACTGAATTGTTAATGCCAGCTCTTTTTAAGTTTAACTACGTTCTTTATTAACTGGGAAAAATTTATTGAAGTTTCTGTTATTTAAGGGCATCTATAACCTACAAGCTCGCAAATTAGCACAAAATTTTGACTGCTTTTTGCAAAACAATGTGAATGGAAATAAATTTTAATGTTTAAAATGACTTACCACAACTTTGTTTAAGATATATTATTGGAAATCATATCAGGACTTTATTTGAAAAGCTGCATGGTTTCGGGAAAACTGCATGGACGAACAGTTATAAAATACTAATATGCATGTTAGTATAGCACTCAACGGCAAATGAATAATTTAAGTGCAAGCTAAATATTAATTATTAACGTCCCTTATTTGGCAGTTTATGGACTGTTAATTCTTCAAACTTCGTACCCAGGGCTTGTTTGAATTCTAATAAATTTTTTATGTTATGTGCAATCTCGTTCCCCGAACCCGCGATTCCTCCGGTGAGGATACAAATGCTAATGTAACGGCCATTTTTGATGTTGTCTTTTATTAAGAATTCTTATTACAAAGTAAATGATTGCAATTTACAATAAGAACCGTTATAAAGGAAACAAGAATAATGGAAATTAGTGGATTCATAGCTGATTATAGTCAATAACATTTACGTACGGTTCGATATAGTCGATAGCACTGGCAACGAATCATATTGCAACGTTTGCATGTATGAATATTTCAAAGTCCTGACATTATAATTAACTTCCCGTAGCTTATTTCATGCGAAATATTTGACTAGCAACGTCGAACAAAATCTACTAACTGCGTCGTAGATCGTAGACAAAAAGGCCCCACTTTAGCCAAAATAAAACATTTTGTTCTAGGCTCTCAAGCTGATCTTCTTAGCTGTTTTAAAGTGCAGCAGGAATCGAGGCAATGCGGATAAGACCATGCATGCATGCAGGAGAGCCAGAGAATTTTGTCTGGTGTGGAGAATATTTACGTATATTTTATTAACAATACTGCAATAGCAGATATTTTTCTAATGTCAGTTTAGCCAAAATAAAGACTAATTGTGCCACAGCATTGAGATAAACTTGTGAGTTTGTTTACAGTTTGTTTATTTTTCTCTAATGCCGAGCGCTAGGCAACTTAGGACGCTTATTTCATACACTAAATTTCTAAACGGCTTGAAATAAGGTAAAGGTAAGAAAAATATTTAGTGTTTCATCTGAAATAAGCTCGGTTTCGTGTTGGTCGTATAATTGCGTGGCTATCCCTGCATTGTGACAATCCCTGGTAACAATTACTACATGCCCTCACATATTCCACCTTCGAAAACCACGTTTTATATAATTTTTTATTCGATTCAACGATTTATTTGCGATAGCCACGCTTATTTTCAAAAAAAATTTGCCCTGACTAGTCTAATCAACCCCACAATTTGTTACTATGACATCCATAGTATTGTGTCATTCTCAATATAAAACACGCAAAATATCACTTCAATGTAACAGTATAGCATTATTCTTAATTAATAAAAGATACAAGACATCACCTGTAGTAATGCATGACGCTATCCCCGGAAGGTACAAGAATTGATAATAACACTTTAAACTTCAATTTAATATTGAATCGTTCTCATTCGTTAATCTCGATTCCATGCAGTCGATCGACTTGACCAATAGATTGAATATATCGACACGACGCATATTTGAAGGGCTTTTTTTGGGACACCCTGTACAGGGTGTATCAAAAAAAAGGAGACCTTTAGAAATCAAGCTGTTGTTAAAATTTGAATGCTTTTTCAATTGCATTTGCACATATGCTAAACCGTAGTGCGTGAAATATTGATGGCATGCATGCATACATTAGAAAAAGGAGACCTTTGGAAAATGAATTGACGTTTGTACACAAGATTGTCTGCTCCTGGGAGTTTGAAAATAACTTTAATAACATAAGGAAAAATAACGACCCAAAAATATTCAAATGACTAAGCACAAACGACTAAGCACAAAAGCGATAACAGTATGCGTGCATGGTAAATTGCTTTAGCTGTTCCTTTAAAACATGAACAAATCATTTGTTCAATAATTTTTAACACTGCGTGCGAGCATTAGGGCTGTTAGATAGAATTGACTTTGAATCCGGAATGGCTCAGCATCCCATTTTACAAAATCTGCCTATTAAAATGTTTACATGAGTCAGGAATGAATTACAACTTGATCTGAAACAGATTCACTTGACATTTCGATCCAGATTGAAAATTACTGATAAATTGAACATCAAAAGAACTGAATGTCATGGACCATGACCTTCAACGTGGCCTCCATTTCTCTCAACACAAACTACCGTACGCTTGTGCATATCGCGAACTGCTTTTCTGATGACGGCAGGCTGGGTATAAGTTAAGACTACAAAAACTCTTTGCTCCGAAGTCAGTTGAACCATTTTTGTTCTGGTAGTGTGCTTAGTCATTTGAATATTTTTGGGTCGTTTTTTTTCCTTATGCTATTAAAGTTATTTTCAAATTCCCAGGAGCAGACAATCTTGTGTACAAACGTCAATTCATTTTCTAATGTATGCATGCATACCCCATCAATATTTAACGCACTACGGTTCAGCATATGTGCAAATGCAATTGAAATGGCATTCAAATTTTAACAATAGCTTGATTTCTAAAGGTCTCCTTTTTTTTGATACACCCTGTACAGGGTGTCCCAAAAAAATGTCCCCTCTATTGAAATCAAGCCTTTGTTCGAATCTGATTGCCTTAATATTATGATAAACCCAATTGAAAGCAAGACGCTTTATTTGAATGCCTCAACCTAATAAATATGCTATTTACACACTACTGCGTTGATCATGCATTCAAATTCCAACAAAAGCTTCATTTCAATAGCGGGGACTTTTTTTTGGGACACCCTGTATATGTATTGTTCTTAAAATCGGTTAGGCACATCAGAAGCACGACGTTTGAAAAAGGTCTGAAAACGTGGTGACTTGACTTCGGGAAGAAAATCAGACTTGGTAATCTTCATAAAGGAAGGATCACTCGAATCTTTGCTCAGGTATATTGACATTGTCATGATTGGTAGTTGAAAGAATCCGGTGTTGGCTTGATCTTTGGTTTTGGGTTTTGTTTATTAGTTCATCGCCGTGTTGATTTGAATAGCAAGAATACGTTAGCGATAGGCCAGGGGGCATATTCTTGCGATTTTCTTTGCTCTATGACTATATTTTTGTATAATTGCAAGTGAGCTGTCGACTTGATTCTGTTTTTCCTTGCTTATTTCATTTCAGAACGAACTACGGCGCCGAGAGATCGCCGGGGAGGGCGAAACACAAACGCTTGTTCGCAGCGAATTATAGGTATTGTTGTTCTATTAATATTTGTGTAATTTGCATTTGTGACTTGAAATAACATGTATGTACACGGTGGGCGAAACTAGAATATAGTTTAATCGAACTTGTTTAGACTTGTTTTTCGAACAAGTTTGTCCTTATCGTGAAACTCGTCTGACAGCACCTTGTGTTTTGCACCGGGAAATACAATATTGAAAAAGTGGTATGTATACACTTTATGATAATAGACTTGGTATGTGCTGAGTGCTAATTATATACAGATTAATTGTAGTTCCTATTTCCAAAGTAAATTATCGGCTATCGCGCTGTAGTGGATAATCTGGGGCGGATCTAGGATTTTTCGCGCGTTATAACACTAATCACAGGTCACGAAAATACCCCTGCAAATACCCCTCATAAATATACATGATACTAAAAGAAACTCCGGCACAGATTTGAAATTTCATGTGGTTGATGAAATAATGCCGCTATACAAAAAAGAAAAATCTTGCTTGAAATTTCATCCTCCCAATAATTCTTCTGCTTGTTTTGATTCAAAGTAAGCTTTTTACATCTTGAAACCTTTAATGCGTTCCTTAGAAAAAAAATGTTTGAAATATGTATGAAACAATAACAAGAACAATAAGTAAACGCCAAGATACGCCGCCATGTTTTTTGCTTCACTTTTTGATGGAGAGTAAATCCTCCAGGAATAATGGTAGAGCTCAGTGGTCTGATCGTTCTAGAGTTGATGGGAAGCGTTTTGTGATCAATCTGATTAGCTGATTTAGTAGTTTCGATGCAGACAAAAATCGTGGAGATTTGGCCTGATCGAGCTGAAGACGTGTTTCAGTTGACTGATCATGACCGATCAGACGATCAAAGACAGTGTTTTGCAGTCGAAGACAGTTCTTTGTAAGTTAATATAAGCTTCAAAAGAAATGGATATTGATGGCAGCCGAGATTTTCTCCAACATGCATTGTGTTTGTGCAGAACTGGCGTATTCCGTCACGTGACGTATATTGGATGATTTTCGGATAAATTAGAAGGTATAAAGGTGCTTATGACATTCTCAGACGCAATGGTGAATAATAATTATTTTAACAGAAATGAACAGGATGCTACTTTATACAACTTCCTTCCGTCAATTATATGTCATGTGCCAGGAATGGGAGATAAATTTTGCCTCAGAGTTAATTAATTTTATTGTGTTGTTCAAAACGGGGTTCGCGGTAACCCAGGAATAAATCATGGGCTAAATTAAACCCACCTTGCTAGGCTTTTTCAAAGTTATTGTCAAACACAAATGAAGATATTCCACACCTATATACACGTTATATTTCATTTTCACTATTACCTCGCGCGGAAAATATCGAAAGACTTTTTCTTCATTAAAAAATATCAAAATTTATTTATTCCAAACAAAACGATTAATATAAATGGACATGTTAAAACAATAAATATTTATGCTAAAAAAAGGCAAATTACCGCATTGAAAATCGCCAACAAAGCAATGCATAGAATCACAGTCTTCTCTTAGCAGCAGAAATTGAGGCAATGAGGAAAATACCATAACAGGAGGGACAACTTTCGACAGAATATAAGTCTTTGTTTTGTTCTTAACATTGCTCATACTAAATGTTGAAAGCTGTGTCCTTTTCCAAATTCCCATTTCCTTCGTAGATATTCTGTTTTATATGCATGTAATGTGGCAAACGGAGATATAGCTGTCATGAAAATGAGCTGATTCTAATGAACTGTATGAATGAATACTCTTATAGAATCTCTATCTAAATATACGTCACATATTACAATATTTTAAATATTTATAAAAACCATGCACCAAGTTCCGTGTTAGTGCACTACACCCCTGTTTCTTTTTAGTTCTTTATTGTTCAACAACTTCATTTCTTTTTTCCAAATTCACGTGGTCGTATCTTCATTGATGTTGATCAGAGAATAATAATTGCCTTTCCAATGCTCCCAGTTGACTCCATCAGCGTGCGATGAGTGTGCGCCATAACGGTAAGGACCATTCAAATTGGAATCATGACAATCACGATACCACCAGGCTCCTTTGAATTTCACTGCACAGTTACTATTGCCAAAATCATTGTCAGAATCTTTGGTGCTGAAAGCCATACCGTTATGTTTTTTGAACGAGTCTCCTGCCGTACCTTAATGTAAAAGTATATGATGTCTTAAAAATTAATAATGTAATAGAACCAATACGGGTGCAAATAATGCCAAAATCCTGCGAGTGTTTACAACGTACAATTTGTTAACTACGAGTATGATTTTGGCAATAATTGCGCGACTCGTATACTTATTTCTTTATTCGTTACTTATTAATTTTATATCTTCTGTATTCTAATGATACCATGCATTAATTTCAGTATTTAACTTCAAGATGTTTGCCAAATTTATCACAACAATGCTTGGTAAATAGGACAATTCGGAATTATTAATATTTAGCATAATTCAAAATTAACATTTTCTATGCTGGAAGGTAATCGGCTAGCTGTATAATTATATTAGAGTGATTTTTATTTGCAATGAGCAAGAGTGGAATTACAACTTGACGGTGAAAAGAAACTTCTGCGGTGCGAAACGTCTTTGGAGGAAAATTGATGGAAGCCATTACCGCGTATCACTTGATGACTCAACGAAGAGGATGGAAAGAGCGGCAAATCACCCTGGCAATCCTCGTGTGTCAATCACCCGTTCTTTACTTCAATTACAGGGGATTATTTTCCCTTTTAATTTCACAGGGGATTATTACCCCAACTTAACTATAGGTGATTATATCCCCTCAATTCTTGGGGATTATCACTCCTATAACATTCAGGCTAGTGAAGGGATGACAACCCCAGGCCTATTTACAGCTCAAATGCTATGACCTCAATGTGAATTTATGATTTGAAGATTTCGCAAAAGTCTTGTTCACTGTTTCATCCCGTCATTGTAAAGGATGTACGGATACTCAACAGTAATCTTGATGAAATCCAAGTAGAATGTTATGTTATTTGGAAAAAGCGAAGGCTTGATGATGGTTACTGACAGTCGTAGGATATATTATTGTTCATGAAAGTTAGTTCAAAAGATTGTTCAAAAAATAATACAGATTTTGTCATTTGATCAAATCCATCCCGTAAATAGCAGGTGTCTTAAGAGTGTAGGACGGCAACACGATGACGTCGCGGCTGAAACACTCCTTCAGAAAATGCTATGGTAAAGAGTTGTTGTCTATTATCAATCGTGTCAATGTAATGAGGTATAAGACACTGAGAACATTAGATTTACATTCCGGAACATTACTACGGAGCCTTATGTTCCCTTATATGTACTATATACACAGATCACCTCGAATATCATAGTATTCTCTTGTATGTACTCGTTTAAATAATATTTCATTCTCTCAGTCTTTTACATTTTACCGATTCGTCCGACGTTTATTTCAATGGGGCCTCGAATATAAAATATCCCTGAGATTTTTGTTTTAATTGATATTGTTTTTAATTTCAAAATTTTTGCAAATGATATTTCAAATTTCTGGGGTTGATCGGCGAAATACCAACGTTTCTTCATATATATATATATATATATATATATATATATATATATATATATATATATATATATATATATATATATATATATATATATATATATATATATATATATATATATATACACCCATTTGCAAAAACGTTGGCCGCAGATAGATAGATAGATAGATACTCAAAATCTAATTAGAATTGCATATGTTGTGTAATATTATAGAAATCCCATGCAAATGTAATGATATGCAATTCTAATTAGACTTCGAGTATCTTTCTATCTATCTATCTGCGGCCAACGTTTTTGCAAATGGGTGTACATATTATATATTATATATAATATATATATATATATAATTATATATATTATTATATATATTATATATATATATATATATATATATATATCAATGACTCATTGATAATTTTTCTTACGATTCAATGTTTAATACGCCGGGTTTTTAGTTCACTGCTAAGTTAATTGTAAACAGACCTGGACTCTCCTATAGTTTCATTCAAATATGGCTCAATTTAATGTATAATGCTTACCATGATAACCTCCAACACTCAACTTGTACTTCTCACTTTCGCTGCTGACTTTAAATGAATCATAATGAGCGTAAGTGGTGTTTCCAGATGTATCTTCCAGGTCGATACGAAGTTCATTTTGTGAAATATTTGTCATCCTGTGTATTTTGTCAAGACCAAGCCAATATTCTCCGCTCAAGTTACCAAAACCTTGTTTGTAATCTTGCCATCCACGGTAGAAGTCAACACTTCCATCAAGACGACGTTGAAATACAGTCCATCCTCCACCTGATGTTGTCATATCACAAAACACTTTGAAACTTCCCTTTCCATCAGGATTAATTTCATAAATGCCGCTTTGATTCTTTCCCTTTTCATACAAATCAGCGCAGCGGAAACCTGAGAAATAATCACGGTTTTATAACCCCTGCAGTTTTTCCTATGGGAATTAATTTTTTTCTACCTTTCAGCTGTCATATTAATTTTTGTCACACCGTTAAAAAAGTAATTTCTATAAGAGCATAAGAAAATTTGTACACTTGCCAAGTTTGACTTCGCCAGGGGGAAATGGTTATCGGAAGGCAGGTTACCCCATGCCTCAAAATTTTTCAATTGTTACAATTGTCATTTATGTGCGAGAAGAGCCCTTCTCTGTGTTGACAAGCGCCATTTTTGTAGATATAAAAGCTTATATTATAGCGACCAATAATTTTTTAACTCTCGAAGCGCCTTTTAGCCTTCAAAACACATTGGTGTACGCCTATTTCTATACGCTATTCACGGCTCAATTATTACTTCAACAGAAAAAATGCCCTTTCTTTTGTTTCTTAAACAAAATGCGATATGCAGAAGTTCTGTTAATTTTAGGTTGAAAATGCCCCACATTTTCTTCTAAATGTTATTTTTGCTTGTGCTCTGAAAGCTTGTGCCCGCAAAAGAAAAAAATTGAGATGCTTTACCCCCCCCCCCCCGGAAGATATCATTATATGGATTTTGTGGAACTGTACTCCTGGAAGGATCATTTAAGAAAGAGGCAACACTTTTAACTTTGGGAGGGAAACATAACTCAAATTCAGTCAGGGAAAAGTTAAGAAAGATGATTAACTATCGATTCTCCAGCAGAAATTAAACTTACGCCGTCCTTTGCGATCCCGGTGCCATCCTAAATTTGGGTTGCATATATAAAAGTCGATTAAAATATTTTTGCCTGAACATGTTTTCCCATTTCCAAAAAATCCTCATGGACAGTGTGCTTTAGAACACGCATTGTGTGGGCATTTTCACTGTTGAAACTAGAACTACATGCATGCAGCAGCCCCTCGCCATTTCAAACGAAGCAAAAATTTTTCTGAGCTAGCCCGATCTAACCTTCTAAGCTTGAAATACCGATACCGTTTACCGTTTATCTGCTGCATTACGTTGCGTGCAGTTATATACTTTCACATTTGCAGTGAGAACTAATACTTCAATATAACCTTCAAAAGATCAAAATCAAATTTAAATCTCCACGCACTAAACGTCGAATGTTGTTTTTCGATTATTGAACTCAATCTAGTCCTTCTATATCTGTTCGTCTTAATAATTTTCTGTGTGTCGCAAGCTAACTTCATGAACAATAATTACAACAGGAGAAAATTCTTGCGTTAATTAATAATGAATCTGACGGCGACGCCTATAAAATATATGGTGGATACAAGTAACATGTTAATACTGTGTAAAATAATTAATCTTGCCTGAACATGTTTTCCCATTTCCTAAAAATCCTCTGCGACAGTGACATTCGTAGGAGCCAATAGTGTTATTGCAGGTGGCGTTTGAGTGACATTTGTGAGTTCCCAGGGAACACTCGTCAACATCTGAAATAAACGATAGTTGAAAATTAACTTCATGAACTATAATTATAACAGGAGAAAATTCTTGCGTTAAAAATTAATCTAACGGCGACGCCTAGAAAAAATTTGGCTGATATACAAGTGTAACATGTTAATACTGTGTGTAAAATAATTGATCTTGCCTGAACATGTTTTCCCATTTCCTAAAAATCCTCTGCGACAGTGACATTCGTAAGAGCGAATAGTGTTATTGCAGGTTGCGTTTGAGTGACATTTGTGAGTTCCCAGGAAACACTCGTCAACATCTGAAATAAACGATCTTGTCAGGAGCCTATGTGTGTATCATTTCCAATCAAAATTAGGACCAAGAGTGTTACTATTCCCAGAGATTACTTTGCTAAATTTAGCGAACAACGCTCGTTCTTGTGCGTTATCTTCGTAGCTCATGCGGAAGCACACTTGACACACTTTTCTCAGCTCAGCCTGTCTTTAATTTGAGTTTTTGATGAATTCCACTCGAAATTAAGGCAATGTAATTTTCACTGATATCATTTCTCAAGCATGAAAACATTTTTTTCATATTATTTTGACATTAGGATAGTAGAAGCTCCTTCGGGCTCGATCAACATTTGAACATTTCTACTTCGCTAGCGTTTTTGGTAAGGGTTAGGGCTAGGGTACGGTCCCTACCAAAAAAAATTCATTAAAGGTTGCCTTGAGGTTCATTCGTATACGTATTGCATTAATGTGGCGCATATTGACAGAAGATTTAAAATATTTCTCATTGCAAAATAGTTAATAAATTTATTTAGTAAATATTAAAATTCTCGTAGTTTTGTTCCGAATGATATTCGGAATGTTCCAAAATTATGATATTTGTGATAATTCTAAAGCAAATTACCGGATTTGTTGGTAATCTTTTCTTTTTTAACTCCATTCTTTGCCTATACAAAATTGATTACAACAATACTGAAGTTAATTAAAAAATTGATTTTAATCTTTACACATCAATCAAAATATCACTAGATTATATTTACACTAATACAACGGTATTAAACGAAAATTACGACTATATATTTATAATTTCTTTATTTTTTATAATTTATGATTTTTTTATTTCTTCAATGTTCATTTTTGCAGGCATAGACAAAAGAAACGTGAGATAACGTATATTTCTTATAAAAGAAAGAGGTTGTATTTTTGCAGAGTTGTCCAAAGATCGCAGATAAAGAGAAAATATTTTCTTACAGTTTATTATAACAAGTTTTTTTTTCGTGAAAAGTTGATACCTTGCTACAGATATGCAGATTTCTGAAATTCGTATATCAACTTGTACTAGGGATGCTTAATGCAGACAATCTAATCTTTTTCTAGTTCGCCAAAAAAAAACCTCCCAAAACCGCAATATGTTTAATGTTGGTCTATATAATTAAAAGTTCAAATTTTGAGTTCGGACTTCGGAACATGTTCTTTAGGTTCTTCCAACAAAATCGTAAACAAATTTTGAACAACACCTTTTTACAAATAGAAACTAGCGAGAAAAACCCCTAATTGCTTCGTGTCAAATCCACGGAGGTCCAATGACAATTTTTTTTTTCTATCGTTTATATTTCGCCATGTTTAGCATCGGTATAAACAATCATGTTTGAAATTATTGTTGTTTGCATGAAAAATAAAAACCGTTAAATATCACTGACTTTGTAATTTATCAATCTTACCGCTTCAATATCTTGCATCAATATCCAATCTCCCGTTTTCGTTTCTTCTTTCTTTCTAGTAACGTTTGTCAGTTGGCAATTTTCAACATTTTTTGTTGTTCTGTAGTTGAATCCAACACATTTGTTTTCGTCTTTGCAGCGAGTGTGACATCCTAACATGACAGCTGAAGATGTAACATTGTGTCTTGATATTATTTCATCCGCAGGCAACGATGGACCTCCTAAAAATTTTAACAAAATCCTTTAATGTCAAATTAATGCCCAAATTTCAACTAAAATTGTGTGTTTTATTCGGGACTGATTTCACCATTTAAATGGTGTTTCAAGACAATATTTTTTCTCTTACTTTTTTCGACAATACTCACCTTTTATGATTGTTTCGTAATTCGTCGGGGAACATTGGTTTGCTGAAATGTTTCCAATAGCAAGCAACAGCAAGCTTAAGCTGGCCGCTACAAACATCGTTTAAATCGTCTCTTCTCTGACTTGGTAATTCTGGAAGATATTTTTCGCAGTTATGTCCAAGAAAAAGAAGAATAAGAAATGATCATGAGATAGCATGTTGACTGTGCTTCATAAAAATTTGAAAATTCAATTAAGTTGCTATAGCGACGTAATCCACTTACATGCAATCATGCATTGCAAAGTGGGGTAGCGAATGCTTTTAGTTTGAAAAACTGTTGGACTGCGAAGAGTTTGAAGTATATATCCTTGACGGTTTTGAGTTAAAAGGAAAAAGGAGGAAAAAGTAGCTAATGAAAGAAAACGAAATCATTACGTTATCTCTATTCTTTTCTATCTCCTCGCACGAAATAAAAAAAAATTAATTGTTTGGTTCTTTACCGGCTTGTGTTTACATTTCGAGTGAGTTATTTTCATCATTACAACTGCGTGAAAATTTAAACTGTATAAGCCAGCCATTCAACGGGATGCAAACAGAACGATATTAATTTTATTAATACATGTTTAAAACAATACATAGTTACGTTTAGGAAAGGAGGAAGGCAACCGTAACTGTCAACCCTTACAAAGTCACCAACAAATTTTCCCGTCTCCTGTAAGTAGCAAGAATCGAGGCAATTAATGCAGATAAGGCCATGCTTGAGAGACTGACACTTTTGCTTTGTTGGGATAATACTTAAACGATATAAATGATATATTAACGATACTGCAATAGCAAATATTAATAGCAAATATCAGTTTGACCAATTAAGATAGAGATTAATTGTGCGACACGATTGAGCGAAATTCGTGACTGATATTCATGTGTGTAAACACGTAGTTTGCTTAATTGATACAGTTTGTTTATTTTTTTCTAATGCCTTGCGCTAGGCAACTTAGGACTCTTATTCTATACACTAAATTTCTGAACGGCTTGAAATAATCTAAAACTAAGAATTAAACTAAATATTCAATACGTCATCTAAAGTAAGATCGGTTTCGTGTGGGTCGTAATTGCCCGGCAAGTTCTTTTCTAAATTTAACTACGTTCTTTGTTAATTGAGGGAAATTTAACGAGGTTCGGGAAGGCATGCATGCATCTATAACCTGCAAGCTCCCAAATTAACGCAAAATTTTGGCTGCCTTTTACGAAACAATCTCAGTGGAAGTTTTAATGTTAAAATGACTTACCAAAACTGTGATACTCGAAATTATTTGAGGACTTTATTTCAACAGCTGGTTTGCGTAGAAACTGCATGGACGAACAGTAATAAAATACTAATTTGCATGTTAGTAGCACTCAACAGCAAATAAATTATTTAAATGCTAGCTGCATATTAAATATTAACGATTTAACGTCTCTTATTTGCCAGTTTATTGACTGCCAATTTTTCAAACCTGGTACCCAGGGCTTCTCTTCCATTGTATGTATTGTGCAATCACGTTCCCCCGAGCCCGCGATTCCTCTGGTGAGGAAACAAATGCTAATGTAACGGCCCATTTTATGTTGTCTTTTATTATGAATTCTTATTACAAAGTAAATGTTTGCAATTTGCAAGAAAACCGTCACAAAAAAGCAAGAATAATTGAAATTGGCGTATTGAAGCTTATTATAATCATAAACGGACGGACTCGAGTTTACTTGATAGTCGATAGCGTTGACAGCGAATGACATTGCAACGTTTGTATGAATATTTCAAAGTCCTGACAGCATAATTAACTTCCCGTAGCTTATTTCAAGCAAAATATTTGACTAGCGACGTCGAACAAAATCAGCTAACCGAAATAAAACATTTTGTTCTAGGTGTCCCAGGCTGACCATCTTAAACCCCATTTACACGACATGAATTTTTGGCACGGTCCACCTAAAATTGGGCCGGGGACCACTTTTTTTAGGCACGGCCCCTCTAATTTTTGCCGTGTAAACGCTAAATTAACAGTACCCGTGCCTATTTTAAGGAATTTGTGGACGTTTTCTTGATTTCTGACATGTTTAAATTTCATACTGTGGGCCCTAGGGTGGTGAGAAAAAATTCACAGTTTGGCACCAGACCCGCTAAAAGTTGATGGCCTCGCAATGAGAGAAAATACTTGTCGTGTAAACGCAATTTTACGCGCCATAAAGATCGGTTCACAATTGTGCATTTCCGCTATCAAAGAGAAACCTTTTGAATGTCTTAATAAAGTTCAATTTTTCTACGCATTCTGCAATCTTTTGACAGCTCATCATACACACCTGACAGCTTTAAAAAATGGCCATTTTGAAGCTTAAAGGGCACACAAGGTTATTAATTCAGACGATTCGTTTTTACCGTGCGTAAGCTTCAAATCTTTTGTGCAAGACGTATTTTCGTGAATATTTATCTATTTTGTTAATTTATTAATTTATTCCGGTATAAAATCTGCCAAAATTTGGTCGGAAAATTACATTATTTACATCAGTCTTATAGGCGTGTTTCAAACTTCGTGCTTTCTTGCCGAAAGCATTTAAAACAATAGTTAATCAATGGGGATACCTCATATCTACAGCGTGCCCAAAAATAATCCCCCTATTGATTTTGTTGGAATTTGAATGCATGATCAACGTAGTGTGTAGCTAAATAGGATGCTACTTTATACCCCCCCCCCCTCTCTCTACCATTTTCCGGACAGAACTGTTTACACAAGGTTATCTTAGCAAGTATTTATCCTATGAATACTCAAAAGGTTTCATTTGAAAGCTTAAAGTATGATCTTTCATCTGATGTATTTGTTTTTGCAATTCATAACTATCCCCGTCCGGATTGAACATAATCCAAAAATTACATGCGACCGCATCGTTAAAAATTGCGAAGAACAGCCACACGTTTGGCTGAAAATCAACTAAAATACGTCGTCTGAATGATTTTTACCGGTAAAATCGATTTCCGGGGCATCTGGTTTCTTAGGATACACATATCAAAACATACAGCCCGAAAGACGCCCGAAAGACGCCCGAAGGAGTTTTCCCCCCGACTGAGTGTTTGTGCAAATTCCCACATTTAAGGAAAAATATGTACTTCTGGCGTATGATATTTAGTACAAAAATAGAGCAGGATTTTATAAACAAAATGGTGGGCGAACCGTCGCTTTTGGCTGAAAAGAAACGAAGATACATGCATCATACTTTCCACAATGCATCTTTATGATTGAGTGAGACATTTGTTTGTTGAAATATCGCGATAACTCGCCTAAAACGCGATGAAAATTTACGAAATCAACACAAAAGTAAGATTATGATATTTACTATTCAGTCGTAGAATTTTCATGTCCCAAGTATTCGTTTTGCCCAATTTTTTAAATTTTCAATTTATGCGTCCTCGGAGACGCACATTCCAGGGCGGGTATTATATAGATTAAGACGGAAACCTCTTTAAAACCTCCTTTGACCATCACAAGCTGGTTGTTGTTTTTTTTGCAGAAATCTCACAACTAAATTCCCTCTTTAAAAAACACATAAAATCTTCTCTTTCCAAACGTTCCAAACGTTGATTTATTATAGAACGTTGTTTATTATTAGACGTGTTTAGAACAACGATATCCTTTTGTTATGTAATGCGACAAGCGAAGATATAGCTGTCATGAAAATTAGCTGCTTCCAATAAACAACTTAAAACACACTTTTATACAGTTGGTTTATTTTTCTAAACTTTGACTGCGGAATAGGCTAGGCGTAGGAAAAGAATCTCCTCTTTGTAAACATACGGTCACATATTACACTATTTTGAATATTTATAAAAACAAAAAAATACGCGTTAGTGCATACAAGTTTTATATAAAAACAAAAAAATACGCGTTAGTGCATACAAGTTTTATAAAGCAAATCTTCTTTATTTAGCAACTTCATTTCTTCTTTCCAAATCCATGTGGTCGTATCTTCATCGATGTTGATTTAAGGGAATATTTATGTCCTTTCCAATACTTCCAGTTGACTCCATCAGCGTGCGATGTGTGTGCGCCATAATGATACAAACCATTCAAATTGGAATCATGGCAATTGCAATACCACCAGGCTCCTTTGTAACTCGCTGCACAGTTACCTTTCCAAATATCATTGTCAGAATCTTTGGTGGTGAAAGCCATACCGTTATGTCTTTTCAACGAGTCTCCTGCTGTACCTTAATGTAAAAGTATATGCATGGCCTATTAAAAATTAATAATGTAATAGAAGGAATAGGCTAGCAGTGCAATTTTATTACATTATATTTATTATATATTATTATATAATGTCAAAATCGTACGAGTGTTTCCAACGTGCGATTTGTCAACCACGAGAATGATTTTGCAATAACGTATACTTAATTCCTTATTCTTTACCTAATTCCATACTTATTAAATATCTTCTGTAAACTTCTGATACAATTAATTTTATTGAACTTCAATATAATTGTCAAATTTTATTGTTAAATTATATATTATATTATATATTGTCGAATTTGGAATTATTAATATTTAGCATAATTTAAATTCACATTTTCTATCCTGAATGGTAATTCGCTAATTGTATATACTAGAGTGATTTTTAATGGCTATGAGCAAGATTGCAAGTACAACTTGACGGTAAAAAGAAACTTCTGGGGTGCGAAATTTCCTGGGAGGAAAATTGATGGAAGCCATTACCGCTTATCACTTGATGAGTCAACGAAAAGGATGGAAAGAGCGGCAAATCAAATCACCCTGGCAATCCTCCTGTGTCAATCGCCCAGGGGCGCCGGAATATCGATAATAACGGGGGCAGATATTCATATATTCGTGTTCGCAGATCGTAAAAACAATCGATTTCAAAAGGGGTTAACTTAACCAGGTTGACAATGACTTTGAAATAGAGTCGAAACATCACCTTGAATATTGTGTCTTCTTTTTAACAACTCATATCTTGGGTTTACAAGATGTTTATTTTCGGAGTATTCTTTCTCTTATCTTTCTTAAAACTGTCTGCTGGAAAAGGTTTTTGTTTTGATATTGTTTTGTAATTTTTAAAGTTTTCCAAATTTTCAAAATGGAGATATTTTACTTTTTGCGTTTAACTGGCGAAATACCAATGTAGCCTCGTTAGTCGTTTCAACTCTATATATCGATAACTCGTTGATAATTTTCTAGGATACAATATTTAATATGCTTCAATTATAGTTCATTGCAAAGTTGATTGCAAAGATCGAGAGCTGGACCCTCCTATATATTTTTTTTCAAATATGACTCAGTTTAATGCAAAATGCTTACCATGAAAACCTCCAACATTCAACTTGTACTTCTCACTTTCGCTGCTAACTTTGAATGAATCATAATGAGCGTATCTGGTGTTACCAGATGTATCTTCCATGTCGATACGAAGTTCATTTTGTGAAATATTTGTCATCCTGTGTATTTTGTCAAGACCAAGCCAATATTCTCCGCTCCAGTTACCAAAACCTTGTTTATAATCTTGCCATCCTCGGTAGAAGTCAACACTTCCATCAAGACGACGTTGAAATACAGTCCATCCTCCACCTGATGTTGTCATATCACAAAACACTTCGAAACTTCCATTTCCATCCGGGTCAATTTGATAAATTCCACTTAGTTTTATTCCTTTATTGTATATATCACCGCAGTCTTTCACTAAATTATCAGAATAAGCACATGTTAAACACTTTTGGCAAACTTTATCACACTCTCGTTTCCATTGAAATTACTTATTAAAAATGCAAAGTGAATGAAGCGCATTTATAGGCATCAAACTGTCCAAGAGTTTTTTATCCACACCTGGTTTTGAATTGTTTTAATTTTTTCTGTCATCAACACATACCTCTTTCATTTTCATCGGAAGTGTTTTTAAAACAACTTTCATTGTAATCCTGTAATAAAGAATGTTAATTCCTTGTTGTTTGAAGTGCAGGATCATAACGACTGTAAGCCAACCAACAAAATTGAATCTTGCTAAAGCAGACAGGTTTATGTTTAAATGTTTTCCGGTGAAAAGTAGTTAATATATCTCAAATAACGCAACAGCTATAACTGCTATGCCACTAAATCATACCTTTTGTGGGTTAAGAAGATAAATATAATCATAAGAGGAGTTCTTCTCCAGTAATCTCTCAGATGTATTGTAAACCACGTTGTGTAACATTTCACAATTTGAATCATTTTTTGGAGTCAATTTCTTCTTGAAGTTGATAGACCTACAACATATCTCAGTTGCACATTCCAGTACGCAATCTATCCATTCAGAAACGACTTTTGTCTTAGCAACTGTTGCCATCAGTCTGAACCCTAAGGTATAAAATGTTTTTTAGGAAAACCTTCACATTGCCAAGGTTTGATAGGTGGGTGCGGAGTTAGGTGGGTGGTTGGTTAGGTTAGTGGTTCGGTTGGTGGGTGGTTGGTGGGTAGTTGGTTGGGTGGGTTAGTGGGTGTTTGGTAAGGTGTGTAGGTGGGTGGTTGGTTAGGTGGGTAGGTGGGTAGATAAGTAAATTAAAGTGTTTATAGAAAGGAACATCTTCATTTTATACCACACATCAGATACGTGGATGATGTGCGCATAGAATTGACCTGTCCCACATTTTCATGAACGAATAGGTTTATTACTTCGCGATGATTAACAAAAATGTGATGAATTAATTTTCAATGTTAATTTCTATCACTCAGAAGCTCTAGATGCAGAGACAATTTATTTAAACTAACAAAATGACTGAAGAACAACTTAGACATAATGTTCTGAAATGCATGTGACTTTCCAGGTTTCCAGCAAAAATTATGTTGATATAAATTTTACTTTACCTTCAAGACTGGAATTGTAGCAAATGTTTGCACTGGTTTCACTTGATATAACATTTAAGACATCGATTGATAAACATGATACATATAGGAATAAGAAATGTTTAAATTGCATGGTTCTTCAACTTTCAGTTGCAATAAGAAGAAATATTCCTGTAATGAAAATAGAAATTAAGCCTGCGTTACTGAATTTGGATCGGGAATGCCTTGAAATGAAGCGTGATTATAGAAAAATATATTCACTTGCCTAAATTGCATAAAGCAGTATTTTGTTTCGGTAAATTGATTAACTTAAAACCCAGCACTCCCCAACATTATTAAGCGATACTTTAATACCCAGATATTTTTCGAATGTCAGTTTAGCCAAGATGAAGATTTATTGTGTACGCTATGATTGAGGCAAAAAACTCGTGACTGACATTCATTTGCGTAAACACGTAGTTTGCTTAATTGATACAGTTTGTTTATTTTTCTCTCCCGGCGCTTGGCAACTAAATGTTGCTTGCATGTGAACGACTTAACAAGATAAAAGTACACTCAATATTTCACACACTTAATTTTTAACCGTTTTTAATGAATAGTCCTAAACAAAAAAATATTGAAATTGCGAAAACAATTTCTACAAGAGGCGAAAACATTCTCGATCTTAAATTACCACTGATCTCGACCGTGTGAAGATAATTGAACTCTTGAAACCAAGTGATTCAGACATTTCAACCGACCACAATGCTATCATTTTCGATCTCTTCCTCTCATACAATCTTTTCGCTAAGGTAAAACAAACGGTGTTTGATTACCGACGCAGTGACTTCGATGGTCTTCGAAGGCATCTTCAATCCCTCGATCTCAGCCGACGCATATCAGAGAATGGCGATATCAACCAGGATTGGATGGTGTGGAAAAATGCGTTTTTGGAAGCGGTATCCAAATTAGTGCCAAGAAAAACACTCCGAGGTCGAAACCATCTCCCTTGGATGAACAACACGATACTTCATTACATTAATCTCCATTAGAAAGCGAGGATTAAAAGATACTGTCATCGAAGTGACCACCTCAAGCAAAGATTTCGAGAGCTCCGCACGACAATCAAAAGAATGTTGCGTGAAGGTCGCTTGGACAATATCAACTCCATATGTTCTTCCCGAGAATACAATCCGAAACGTTTCTGGTCGTTTTTCAAGATTTCAATTTTCCAATTTTTCATGTTTCCAATATTCCATTAAAAGTTTCGGTCAAAATTAACGAAAATCAAAGAATGTATTTCGATAATAACGCTGAGATTGCAAAAATCCAAAGGAATACTTCGCATCGATCTTCACAAACGACACTGCCAATGACTTCAATCCAGAACAGCATCCGGAAGAGGACATTATTCTCCTTGAAGACATTAATCTGACTAACGACGAAGTGTCAACGGTGTTAACTAAGTTGAAAAACAATAAAGCCCAAGGTCGACGAAAACCTCATTCCAAATCACTACTTTACTCTGCGCACTCTTCAACAAATCCTTACGTTGTGGTGTCCTTCCTGATGAGTGGAAGTTAGCAAATGTCGTGTCTGTATTAGTTAACCTGCACCGTAAAACGAGAACGAACGAATATGCAAGTATGCTAATGTTTTCATTGAAATTATGAAAAGCTGATTGGTTGGCATATTTAAACATATACGAATGGACGAAAGCGACAAACGAATGAACGACAAAGAGTCGCTTGCTTGTACTGAACATGTTTTCAACCGTATTGTAATACTTGTATATTGTTTTCTCTCGTTGTGCTGATAGAAAAACTACATTTCGGCTCATTCAATCAGGGATGGTAGAAGATAGTCTTAACTTAAGGCCGTAAAGAAGATACACCCAGACATGTATTACCATTAGATATATATTTAGGGATATGCAATACACATGCATGCGCACGTAAAAATCTCACATCTTGTAACTGAAAACGCCAAAAGAATTGTAATTTCATCACATTTTTTTGAGCCTAATAGGTGATCATAATAACAGAAAGGAATTTCATGTGATAGAAATTATTTGGCGTTAAGTTTAACTCGACTTTGTGATATTATTGTAATTTCCATAACATGCCAGTTAAAACGTATATTCAAATCCCAGGAGCATAATAAGTTCCATAGCCACAGTAAGCTTAAATGCAAATCAGCAGTAACTGCTATATTACGATTATTAAATTATTTGCTGCATTGTGCAAGAGACAATCTGTTTGAAATCGCTCGCGGCTGGATTTCTTTAACTTTTTTAAAAATGAATGCAAGACAAGTAAGACGCATAGGTGATGTTGAAAGACGATTAATTCATGAGCGGTATATGGAGAATGGTCCCATTTGGGACGTCATTGCAAACGATATTGCAAGGCATGATAGGTTTGCCGAACTTCCTGATAACGTTCAAGACCTATATGCAAATGTTGGAAATCGGCGTGCGGTGAGACGAAGGCTTCGTGATTTCATTGTAAGAGAGCAAAGAAAGTACGTATAAATAACTGTTTAGTAAAGGCATTTGATTTTTATAGGTATATTCTATACTACAAATAACGACGAATTTGATCATTTTCACGTTTTATAATAGTGGCTTAGTGGAGAGGGTAAATGAAATGAGATACGCCAATCGTCAAAATGCCTTTGACAGAGAAGCCGCGCACGGAGCCATTATCAACCGAATTCAGGCGAACGCTGACGCGGCAAATCCTGATCCGCCTCTGAATCCCGGTGAAAACCCAAATCAACTAGGTGTGGAAGATAATGGAAACGAGGACATGAACGGGGGCGGAGATGAAGTAGAGGACCAACGACCAAATCCTCGCGATGAAGTTCCTCAAGCACAGGCAATTCCTATTCCTGCTGGAATAGCTGCGGCTCAAGGAAGGCGCCCATATCACGCGCTGGCACGAGAAAATGCAGAAGCACTGAATTTGTTGCTGACCAGAGAAATCCCAGTGCTTACGCAACAACTGCACCAAACAATGGAGTTGACGAATGAACTAATAAGGCGTCGTTTAGAAGACTATTAGTTTCTTGCAATTCTCTTATTTTATACAAAAGTTGTTGTGTGAATTTAAATACAGTAGAGATAGGTTGCCAGTTGTTCGGGGTAATAAGGCCCCAGGTATGTACAAATGTTCTGGGTTAATAACTGAAAATTGAAAATTATTATCTTATAAAATATTATATCATATATACACACAACAATTTCTTGTCCCATCGTATATTAATTTAGCAAATTAGATAGCTCTCGAAAGTTGGATGTGCCGTTGTGCTAAAAACGAGCAGAGTTCTGTTACAATGGGGAACATCCAGCGTTCATGGCGCCACAGGTGGCTCACAGCACCATACTCCTTTACCCTCCTAATGCAATGTTCCACACGTGTCCGAACTCTTGAGTGTTCTCTATTGAACAATTGCCTTGTAACGTTGCCAGCTACATTTCTCCATGGTGTAAGAAGAGGATAAACACTAGGATAACCTTTATCTGCTAATATATAAACACCTGGTGGTAAGTGGAGTTCTTGTCCAGTTCCGATATTTGGCATTAATTGAAATTGACCGCTGTCGTTGTTATGCCCTAGGAATCCAGATTGAATGTATACAATATTTGAATTGTTATCCATGATTATCTGGGTGGAAAAATTATGGTATCTGGAATAACCGCTATAAAAATCTTGCTGCCGCTCAGTTTGCGGTCTTTGTATGGCATGACGCGTTCCATCAATTACGGCCACAGCACCTGGAAACATATCCCAATGATTTGCTATCTCTAACCATTGTTCAGCTGTAGGCCACCTAACGAATTGTTTAAAATATCTCCATAACACAGGAAGCAAAAATCGAATTTCCCTTTCGATGGTTGTAGGACTCACCATGAATAAACCACTCAAAATTGAAGCTTCGGGATACATCCGAAGCCAAATTATAACTACCAGAACTCTGTTTCTAATATCAAGGATGAATGGGTTATCACGAACTCTTAATCGCCTACGCCTGGTGTGAAGCGTGATATACGGTGTGACGTCTTAAACGATGCGTCTAAATGATTCTACGCTCTCGCCCGTCATAGTCCAGAACAAGTGTTCACACCTTTCCAATTCACTATAGAAATCCCTTCCCGGGAAGTTTGAACCGAAAAAATCTGGAGAAAGAATCTGTTCAATACGAGCTCTTGGTAAAATAGCTTGAGCGCACGTTGCTATTATAGCAGACAAATCATATAGATGCATTATACAGGCAACTAACGTAGTCAAATAATTGTCGTCAGTCGCTTCGATCTCGCTTGTCTGCTCTTCCATTGCGGCATTTATCACCGGTATACATATCGAATATATTGCCTGAACGGCGTTGTGCAAATTTAATAGCACTATGTTTAAAAGGTCTAAGTCGTCTGCCATGCTTTTTCAAACAGCTCAATCGTAGTTCGCACAATTGCAAATGCACCTGGAATTGCATATAAATACACGTATATGCAAATGTCTTAAATCACCTGAACAAATGCTTAAGAATTGTTGTAACAATTGCATTGAGGCCACTTAACACGACCTTGATTAACCATAAAATTCAATTGAGTTTACGAATTGATGACTTCGGTAAAATACTCAGGGTTCTGTATATAATATTATTCAACTTAGTTATTCCTCAGTTTGGGATGTTACCATTACAGTTCATCAATCATCGTCACCTTGTTGCATGCCCCCTGTTTTAACCGTATATATACACGATATCACAACACAAAATTACATGACCAAAATATGCATGCTATGGCTTAAAGTTTACAAACGAATATGATAATAAACTTGTTTTAGCCAATAGAAACCATCTATTTGAATGATTGTGAACCGTACTCTCGTTCAGTTAATGAGGCTACTCGTTCGTTCTCGTTCTACGGTGCAGGTTAACTATTTAAACGCGGTGACAAATCGTACGTAGAGAACTACCGTCCAATTTCGTTGCTTCCTCTTTTCTCTAAAGACCTGGAACGTTGCGTGTTCCACAACTTTAAACATCACGTTTTTCAACCCTTGTCAACACAGTCCGACAAAAATCATGCGTGACACAACTAGTACTGATTGAAGTATTCAAACAGATAGGCCGGAAATTAGACCACGGTAAGCAAATGGACGTAATCTACTTGGACGTCTTGTCGAAGGCATTTGATAAAGTAAGTCACGATCAGCTCTTGCACCGATTGCGCGAGTTCAGGTTTCGAGGTAACATTCTAAACTGGTTTTCATCCTATCTCAACAATCGTTATCAACAGACAGCTGTTGGTGGAGCATTTGATAGACCATTACCGGTGACATCCGGCGTCCCACAAGTCTCGATTTCCGGTCCACTGCTGCTTCTCTTGTACGAAAACCACCTCTCCGAAAGTGCGGACAAATCTAGCATTGCAACCTTTGCAGACGACACAGAGATCTTTAAAACAGTCGACAATATGTGTGATGCATCTTCGCTTCAAGATGATGTAACAAATTTTAAAGAACTTTCCAGTAAGGTAAACCTGATATTAAACGGTGAAAAATGTAAAGTTTTGCGAATAACCCGAAAACATCAGAAAATAGAACACCCCTACACACTACTTTATACCGTCCTAGAAAGCACCGTTCAAGAGCGTGACTTGGGAGTATGGACTTCTTCCAATTTGACTTTGTCCAAACATGTTGAAGACCAATGTGCTCAATCAAGAAGAATGCTCGGATACGTTACACCTCATTCCACTCTGCTATTGGC